CATATGACCCAAATTGATTATTAGATATGCACTTGGAATATATGAACATTCCAATACATTTGTAACATTTAATTAGATATAAATCTTACTTATTTGTTATTGATGTTTTATAAAACATGATCAATACTTTGTTGTTTGCCCCCTTGCGATAATATGGATAAATTCTGGTAATGAAATGTTCTAAATAGTAAGAAAACTAATATGTTCGCAATTATGAATTACCTAAATATTTCACACAATTTGGTGAATCTGTTTGGCTCATATTTGAAAAATCAAATAAAATCTGAAAAGCATATTTGAGTAATTACACTAATTAAACACCGATATTTACATTAAAATAATAGTAAATTTTTACATTATGATAATCTATTTTTGTCCGTATATGTTTAGAATAACGGTCTGTGTCATGTATGTATAAAAGTTAAAATCAAAATATTTACGTTCTTTGACCCATTGTGATGAAATACATTTTTCGACCCGAAAGCCGGAAGTTTTTCAGCAAATGGTATTTTATAAGAATCAAAACATATGCACCTCCTTAATTATTGCTTCAAATGTTGCTGCGCTATAGTGTGCTGCGGATCCTTCATATTCGGTAGTCATCCCATGGACTATTTCATGTTTATACAGGTTATAGAGGTGACGTTTTAATATGAGAATCTAGATACAGTGATACTCGATATGTCGTGGAAATCTTACCTGCTTCTTATTAATAGATCTAATTTCTACATCGGCGGAGTGAAATTACATGGCATATTCTATAAATTATATATTTTATGTTTGTAATGGATGTGGTATCCGTTCTATTCTATAATTGCCAAGATAAATGAAAAATTTACATTGATTTTCCATATTGCGATCATAACTGTTAGATTTACATTTACAGAGCCATAGTAAAGTTCAGATTATTTCTCTGTAATACTTAAGCAGCCCCCGTACTACTGATTGTGCTGAATGTGTCTATTATTTTTGTTTGAAAACTAATATAAAAATATACCTTGACCCGCAATTTTGATTTCACTAATCAAAATGGCCATTTAATTGCAACAACTCTATTTTACCTTGAATGTGTTGCTTTCCAAAATTTGCACGAGATGCGGAGCATCGAGTTCTAAGTTTAGGAAACAACACCTGGAAGAAATTGTCATTTCGCAATGCATTGGGTCTTTGGCTTAAATTTCCTTCCCACATTGCAAAATATTTTATACAATATCACTTAAAAGATATGAAATTAAATGAAATATGATAGACTATGAAGTGTCAAGTTGTAACTTCTGTTTGTCACAGTCATCATCATGGCTTGTTACCTTGACAATCAAACAAAACTTACCATTATACCTCTGGGGATAACAAGCTACGTGCGTATTGGTACTATTTATGTAGTACCAACAAAAAGTTCTAAAAAGCATACCCAATGTCTTGTGTACACATCAATATGAATCTACTTGTTGAGACTCAATCAACTTGAGTTCTTCTGAGAAAATGAGAATTTCAGCAAAGGTGTAATTGAATTAACATGGAGATGCAATGACTCAGATGCGAGTAGGTAGTTACCAGTTTCGCCACCAGGTGACTGATTCGAGGGAAATAACATGGCAGGGTATTACAAAATTCCCTTAAACTTGAATATTCATCAGTTTTAGTGGTTCACTTTTCATATTACAGTTATGTATCTGATAGTTATACAAATTAAAATATGCCCAGTTACCCTACTATCACACCAAACTAGTTCTCACTACGTTCTCGAAAACGGGCTTCAACTGTGTACGAACGGACTGGACCTACTCAGAACCGTTTGGGATATATTTACAAACTTCATCGAACGTACTCGAACGGGTAGGTCCTCTAGAACTTAGACAATGCTCAAAATGTTTTCGTGGTCGTCACGTTCTACAATTAGAACGAGTGACAACGTACTAACGACGAGCTGGACGTACTACGATCGGAACCGTCGTACTTCAATCCTACTAGGGACGTTTTAACAACGAGTTGAACTGTCCGAGGACGTGTTGAGAACGAGGTAGAACTAATTGCAAACGGGTTTAAACTGATTAAGAACGTATTTAACACTGCTGATGAACGAGTTAGCAAAAATATAGCTATCACACCAAACAAGTTGCCACTGCGTTCTTCAAAACTGGTCTTAAACTGTGTGCGAACGGAATGAACGTAGCTGCAACTTTCTAACGTCTATTTACGAACTTTATGAACGTTCTCAGACGGGAATGTGATTTTAGAATTTTGAATCGATTCAAAGTTCGATGGCGACCATACCGTTCTGTAATCAGGTCATGTTGACCTTCTAGACTAAGGGACGCGTTCTACTACGTTGCACACCGACGTTGTGCGACCTGAACGAACTGCGAACGAGATGGACGTATTGAAGACTGTTTAAGAACGAAGAAGCTAATCATTTCAGACATATTTCCCGACCCCAGCCAGATTGAGCCCGTTTTAGGAAGTTTTCGTAGGATTGGCAAGAACGGGTAAGAACTAGTTTGGTGTGATAGGGGGGTAAAGGAAAATGTTATCTGCCCAACACGAGAAAAGATATTTCACTTTTTGTGATTTTACAACATGGGGTCTATGGGGAATCTCCCCGACCTCAAAGTCACATTTTCAAAGTTGATAAACTTTTCTCAAAACCACATTTCTAGATGTAATTTTACATGTGGATTCGAAATATGACATCAGTTTGACTGAATTTTGAATTTTTAATGACGTAAATCAAGATTATTTCTATTCTCACCTAGTCTATTGATTTCAGCCTGAATATGTACTGTAAATATGTAGGATGAAATCAATTCCTATTATAAGTCAATGGCACCCTTGCTGAAATCCTAATTTTCTCAGAAGAACTCAAGTTGATCGAGTCTCAACAAGTAGATTCATGGGACACTCGTGTTTCAAAAATATATATTGATTATGATGATGAAAACATATCATATTATATACCAGTAGATAGGGAATTTAATTATCTTAAATTTGGTATATCATAGGTTCAAATTTATCATAATGCGTGTCAACCAGAATACAAATGGCGTTTCAAAACCTGAACAGATAGATTTTCAATACGTCTACCATTTTGATCAATTATAGCCCTCAATCTTGGCATAAATTGGTCGATAGAACATTTTGAAATAATGAATTCCAATTCTCAACAATTCTGTCCTTGACCAGCGGATTGAATAGATATAAGGAGTTCATGATACACCAACTCTGTTTGTTTTCCCATAAGTGGTTGTCGCAGACATGATTGACATCGGGTGATCTGGGGGCCAGTGTTTAAAGGGGGTGAATCGATATGTCCTACACAGAGGACTTATTCCTGATCTCATATTCAGATCATTACATTTTCCAACAAGATGGGACTCTAATGCATAGATCCCACAAGACAATCAAATATTTAAAGGAGAATGTGCCTTGATTCATCCCCTCTAAATACTGAACGTCGATTCTGTTTCTCATGACGAAACCTTGCGAAAATGACGTCATTTGTATTATGGACGCCGGTTGACATGTATTATTATAAATTTGACCTTATGATATACCAAATTAAAGATAATTTAATTCCATATCCACTGGTATGTAATATGACATGTTTTCATCAATAAAATCAATGTTTATTATTGAAATACGAGTGTCCCATTTTTTGGGCCACCCTGTACATGTACGCTTACTCAAAGTTCATAAAGATATCAGATTCCTATAACATGTGTGACATATCTTGTGTGTGCGTATAAGAAAAAGCTATTGTGTTACAAGTGCTTCTGAATCTATTTATGTAACAAGGAGAAGGTCGGAGGACTCGACTATGATGTCGTGGCTGAATATGGAGTGATTTGTATTGAAACACTCCGTTTAAGATCACGTGTCGTCTCAGATGGTTATCGATCTTGATATTAATGGAAGAATCAAATTACGTTAAGAAATGTATAGGATAGAGATGGATACATCCTGTTCAACAAGATCATCACCTATAAGAGAAAATAAACGATAAGATAATTTATATTAAGTAGATATAGTTTTATTTCATCCAAAGCTCAGCATTAAATTCTATTCAATATCAAGTGGATCATTAATTATAGAAGCACACCATCAACAATCGTGATTTAAAACATTAAAATATTAAAATATAAGCATCGGTCACTTTTTAAAATTACACAAATATCACCTTGTACAGTTCACTATCAGGTATAAGGCTCTGACATTTTTTGTATAATAAATAAAATATTAAGTAAGACACTCAATGATATAGTCTAGCTACAAACCCTTGTGACCCCCCTAATACACAACGCCACCACGTGCTGAAGTAGATAGAGGGGGGGGGGGGGGTGTCAAGAAACTTGAAGCTAGACTATCAATGATAAAATATCCAAAGGACTTTTCCAAAATAATAGAAGTGACAAACAACCCCAACAATCACTATTCTATTTGTGCGTTTGTTTAGCTTGCAATTGCCCATTACAACCCCAAAAATACACGGTGAACAATTTCACAGGCCAAGACCGGGAATATGGAATATTGTTAATGACATATAACCATTCTTTTCAGTTTAAGTCATGTTTAGAGTACATGCATTTCTATACAGTACACTTCATTCAAACATGACTGTATTCACGCCTTCTATAAACCATAAACAAAGTCAATATTTCACCCGGTATTTATTCGTAGATACAAGACCTGGTATGTACTAAGTGTTTCGCTCAGTGCAACAGAAGTAGGAAATGAAGTAACGGATTTCATGTTCGAATCGTAATATAGACCTCAGATCAGGTTTTATGTCGAGTGATAAATACCTTACGCAAAGGCACAAAAGCTTTCAAACCTAGAAACAGAAAACATTTGTTCCTAGTCATGCGGTATCTATTTGTTGATATCATGCCTGATCTATATTTCTTAATTAAAACAACGGCCTTTGGTAATATGTTAACATTTTATATCGTATCTTTGGACCCAATGTTTCACAATACTTCATTTTGGATTATATACATGTTAGATTATAATTTAGTAAAATATTAAATCTGTACATTTTCACTGTTGCATAAAATTATATTCCATCAACCATCACCAAAGTACAGAATTTCTACTCGTCTTCCTCTCAAACAGACCCATATGTGGTCTCTCTCTGTTACTTTTCTTTAACCAAGACTCTAACTTCCTGGACTTCAAAACTTTGTCCGTGTCGTAACGTGTTATTTATCATGGGAATTCAATAGATTGGATACACTGCTTGTACAATATCCATTCAAAATGTAAAACAAACTTTTTCTGTGTATGGACAAACAATTCAATTACACATTTGAAAATGATGATGAAATATGCTGAACATTTTTAAAATCAAAGTAATAAGTTAAAACTGAAAAAAGTAGTAGAACTGATTTACAATACCAATGTCTATCCTTTGAAATACCTCAGTACAGAAAAAATATTATTTTTCTCATCGCTTGTTTTACAGAAAATAAACATTAGAGAAAAATAAATGTTAAAATATATCTTTCGATTATTACATTCTCTTGCTTTAGTGCCAAATTGATGGACGGATCTCAATCGGCAATGTTCAAACAACTGTTCACATGACAACCAGTCGGCCAATTTGCATTAAACACAAAGCCTTGCACAAGGCTTGTAAAAATCACCTCATTCTTTATCCTTCTTTTTATTTTTCTTGCCCTCCTTCTTTTTCTTTTTTTCTTGGCCATTTTTACTTTTCTTTCCACTCATGACTGCTGAACTTTCTTCGTCTTCCTCTATTTCAACTGGTTCTTCAGTCACTGCCTTATCTTTCTTTTTTGATTTCTTGTCCTTTTTCTTTGGTTCCTTTACCTTATCGTTCGTATCAATTTTATTTTCATTTTTGTCTTTTTTCTTTTCATCTGAATCTTTTTTCTTTTCATTAAAGTCTTTTTTCTTTTTGTCTTTCTTATTTTTCTTTTTAGGTTTCACTTCATCTGACGGAGTCTCACTACTATGGTCCTCGAGGACTGGTTGGGTATCATAGTCTTCGTCGTAATAGGCATTATCATCCGTATATTGATTGTTTCTAAATTGTACTTCCGGAATTGGGTCGTTGTATTCGGGTTGGCCTGGCACATATCCATAATCCTGCGTTTTCATTGTTCCGCTGTAACTACAAGGAGTTCCAACCGCTTCTCCAGATTTGTTCTCCATTTTATTGACCCATATATCAAAGTCCTTCCTCTTATCTTTTTGTTCAACATTTGGACTACTATTTCTTTTGTTTCCAATCAATGGTGTCACTTTACCACTTTTGTACTTGTTCGATTTTTTAATTATCGACCTCAGCACGAGACACGTACATACAATACCGGGAATGCCGCCGAAAACTGCAATCGCAACAATGGCAAACGGGGCCAATCCACCCACAGATTCAACGGGGTCGCCATCCTGTACAAGTGCTGACGTTGTCGCCGCCGCTAATGTCGTCGTGATGTTGCTCATTATTGGAGCCATTCACATAATATCATCTACCTGCAAAATCAAATTACAAAAATCTTGAACAAGACTGTAAACGTTTAAGCGACAATAAAACGAAATAATCTAAAGTTACAAGGGTCACAATTCGGTTCAGCTACATATTATTTAATCCACATAATTCGTATGCCCAGCGCCAGAAAGACGTAAGTGCACTTTCGGTGATTTTGAGAAAATAAACTTCATGAAAAATAAAATCATATTTGAAATACAAAACTAACTATTCCAGGGTTAAAATATGCAATATGTTATTGTCTATCAGAGGTGCATTTTAATTATGCTACTGCAATTACCCAAATGCGAGTAGGTAGTTACCAGTTTCACCACCAGGTGGCTGATTCGGGTCAATTAACATGGCAGGTATATAATAAAGTTCCCTTAAACTTGAATATTATCAATTTAAGTGGCTCAATTTTCATATAACCCTTATGTGTCTGATACTTATACTAATGAAAATATGTCCAGTAAAGCAAAATATTATCTGTCCACTAAAAGAAAAGATATTTCATTTTTTGTGATTTTATAGCATGGGGTCTATGGGGAATCTCCCCGAGCTAGAAGTCACATTTTCATAGAAAATTATTTTTTCAAAGTTGATAAATACTTGGTAATTTTACATGTAGATTTCAAATATGATATTACTTTGACTGAATTTTGAATTTTTAATGACGTAAATCAAGATTATTTCTACTCGCATCTGGCTTATTAATAAACAAAATAAATCAGGTTTTATTGCAGATACATTCCTCTGGCGTAGAAGAGTAACATCCTTCTTGTTTGAAATTTGAAATATATTCTTGCTTTTTGCAATAACTTCCTATGAAAATACATAGTTCTATATGTAATTAAGTCAAAAGAAAGGTATCAAGACAATAAATGTAGACAATAAAAATGTTGTATCTGATTTTGTACTTACATCCTTCTGACGCATTTAGAAAAACGTACTTCAGATGTGTATGTATCAGAGCCACAAGGATGTATCTGACAGATTACATCATATTGAAAAAATTGAAATAGACATAGTTCTGTATGTAATTAAGTTAGAAGAAAAGTATTAGGTACTATTCTACACGATAAAAATGTTACATCGAACATTGCATATACATCCTTCTGGCTTTTCCTGATAAGTGATTTATATATTATGAAAATAGTTCATTTTTAAATTTCAAATAACTTTTTAAATAATTAAGATTAGGCTTAAATATTTTACAGGGATATAGAAAGATGTAATGATACATTGTCTTCTACAATAATCTCAGTTTGGGATTGTTTTGATGTGAATTACACAATAAGACGTTTTGATATGTGATTTAAAATTTAATTATATGAATAAAAGATTGTTTACAGTATATATGATGGTTATAAACTATATCGATGTCTCTTTATGGGTATCATAATATCGACTGTGACGTTTTAAATTACGGAAATCACCCAAAGGTACTCAAGCTAGAAGATGATATTTGGATATAAAAGCACGTAAGGAATATGCATTAATAGCACTTAATCAGACTAGTCTGGATTAAAGACAGTTCGGTTTATTGTCTCATAAATAGCATCCTATAGCATGTACCGACGATAAATCCCATTTGATTTGAATAAAAGTACAAATTGCAATATTACGCTAAAGTATGCATTAAGTGAAGTTTGAATTGATGACATTTATTTTTAACGGCTAAAATATGCACCTTACACGTTGCACGAAATTGGGGACAATTTGTGTCGACAAAACACCCAAAACGCAAATAGCTAACGTCAAAAACGACAAATTACTTCATTTTTGCACTTCTGTTCTTATAAGAGGAATTTATGGTCAGAACATGCTATTCATTTAGGTACCCTACGTTTTAGTAGCACTCGTAAAACAGCTCTTATTTTAAGAATATGTGTAACACGCCATTAGGATGTATTTAATTGTATCATGTTTTACATAACTGGACATCAACTGTATACTAATTAATGTTTATTCATCGAAATACCAATTTTTAAAACAATTTCATCAAATACAAAAACGAGTTAAGATGACTACTTTAGTTCACTTATGTTTGGGACTATTTTTATTCAAATTGAAGTAATATAGCTTAAAATTCCCAAACACCTAGACGTTGACTTTGATTAATTTTGTCAATCGAAATTGTAGACTCATACCACGGTGGTGAGTATTCACTTTTATTATATACCCAATATGTAACACTAATCCTGATTGGTCAATACCTAGTCACGTGTTCCGAAATAGATTTACTATTTCCCTCGGAAAGTTATATTCCCTCAATTGTGACGTCAGCGGGAATATACATTTGAACTATTGCCCGCTGACGTCACAATTGCAAGTTCTATTACCCTTGGAAATGTCTGCGCATCATCACTGTGCAGACGAAAAACAGAAAAATGGAGGATGAGCACAAACACAAATCAACTTCGTTCACCATGACAGACGTGCGTGAACGATACAATATAAGCAACGTGTATAAAGTTCCCTAAGCTCAATACGTCTGTGTAATTTCAAGTGTTATGATAATCTATTCCGCGTGTTAAACGCGATTGAATTTGTCAAGTGAGAGTCTCAGAGGCAAAAATTTCTGTTGAGCATCTGATGACGTCACAGCTTATAATGCTAACAATGGACCCGGGGAGGGGGCTTTCTAAGCCGTTTTGGCTTTCGCAGAGGAAACGGGACAAGAGTCAGTATAGGGTATATAATAAAACAAATAGTGACTGCCTAATTTCGAGCAATAGTGTAAATGATTTCCCCTTGGGAATATCCTCTACAATGTACTATTCCCTCAGCCTGCGGCTTCGGGAATAGTACATTGTAGAGGATATTCCCTCGGGGAAATAATTTACACTATTGCCCTCAATGGCAGTCACTATTTGTATAATATTACATGTACGCGTAATGATTATTTTCACATACACTGCGTCTTTGTTAATTTGTTGACTCGCGCACGCAAGTTATAAAAATATAACATTATGAATTTAATGATATAATTATATTGGTCTCTAAATATTTGTTTTCTTGACGTGTGACACTATCTTACTGACACCAGACTTCCGTGTATAATGACAATCACTCATATTCATTTTTGGAAAGTCACGAAATAATAACGATTATTTTGTTCAACATCCACAGGTAACAGTTAATACTGAAGCTTATTTGGAAATATGTTATTTAATGCTTCGTGAAAATGGGTATTAATAATGCAAATGAAGGCAAATTTAACATTGTGAGTAAGCTATACATCATCTTTCCCATTGACATTTCCTATTTATGAAAATGGATGAAATTGAGTCATCAAAGAGAAAAACAACAATCTAAACACGATCAGTCTTTCTAAATACATTTAGATTAAAGGGAACGAACACTAACTGCATGTGTTAAAACACATATTATGGAATTGTTAAGCCATTGTCGTGTCTCTAGTTATTAATTCATAACTTTACTTATTAATGATTTTATTCATTTGCACCAAATAACATTTTCTATCTATTAACGTAGGAGTGATTAAAATTACGGTCATGGTGACACAGATTCGCCTTGGCGATGTACAAATTTGTGTTCTGCCACGACTTATTGAATTTGTACACTCCCCTTCATAAGTTTGGCAACATTTCTCCATCATTTAACTACGTATCCCCTTTATGTTCCCATGTAAACCAATGGGAAATGGTAGGTTTGCCGCAAGTTATATCACAGAATACTAATCCATCTGAGTTTTTGCAAAAATTCAAGTTAGGTAGTCAATTGAATTTGCAAACTTTATTGAATAAAAATTGTTTTAAAAAAACTCCTCTGATTGAAATACCAAACCCCGAACCCACCATTTCTCATTGGTTTGCGTCCCCGGTATTTTTTAAATCAGATTGTTTCCATGGCAACTAAATTTTATAACTGTTAACATGATAATAGAGTAAGTGCTTCGGGTACTAATATATGAATCCTGTATTTATTGAGTAGGTTTATTACTTGAGATTACTGAGTGATGCTTCTGCATTAGTTGATAACTTGATATAATGTACTGTATCGTTGATTCAGTCATTATACTGCTTCATAAACTTTTACCCGTTCGTTCAATCGATGTAAATGACAATTACGTATCACGTTCTCATTGGTTATTGAGTGTGACATACACAGCATGTGAATCTGTCATACATAGCGAGTGAATATGCCAGATTTGTTGCGGAATATGACATATATTTGTATCGTGTTTACCGCGTAACATTTCCCTCACAGATTATGTTAATAAAAATTCGAACATATAGAGGGTTTAACACAAAGTTCATTGAGGGACAAAAGGTTGCCAAACTTATGGAGGGGAGTGTACAACTTATTGTATTTAATGAGGCTTTATATTCCAACAAAGTCCTATTGAAATTATTCAATGTGTTGGTCTATCAGTATTGACTTTTTAATGGACCATTATCTGACTAGACCTCTGACCTTGGCATTGGGCCGATACATACGGTGTATGCTTCTTGTTTGAATTGTTATTGATTGTGTGTGTATTTTATTTAGTCTCGATCTTGTCTAATTTAGTTCTATGAGGACTTTCCAATCCAATCATTGCCAATGCAGTCCTGTATTTCGATCTCCCAGCAAATTAAATGACATTCTATCTTCTAGGACATTTCTAAGTTTGTATTTTGCTACCAGATTAAACTACTATTTTATGACAAACTCATTTAAATATGAATGGAATAGTGGCAGGTTCTATTCATATTCAAATGAGTTACCCATAAAATAGTAAGTTAATCCGGTAGCCGATAGGCGTTAGTCACATTTGCGCTAGCGAATACAAGCTTAGCTACCAGCAAGGCAGTAATATTTGCCTCAACGACTCATCGGGTTTTTGGGAACGAGTATTTGAAACAGCCATTTGATAGAGTATTGTCTAAGTAGTATATACTTTAAATTGTGTATATCACAGATCAGATTCTGCTTGGGATAAATATGTTTGTCATGGGATAATGACATTCTTGATGAATTTTGAATATTTTGAAAATAAGATTTCTCAATGGCTTTCCATATGACATAATATTGGCGTGGTTGAATTAGTATTTGTAAATGATATACGTTATATTACTTTTATTTAGTATGGAATTGAAATTTCACTTCTGATGTTTATGATATTCTCATATCAAACGCGACAATCAAGCATTTTTCACACGGTATGTATCCAGTTCAATGTGTATCATTATTTTTGTGTAATAAATAGCAATGTTCATAGAGAGTAAAATGGCACTAGTGTCATGTAAAATTATCCTTTTAGTTTATGATTGGTAATTTTCGTAATGTGATATCGGGCGGTATCTATAAAATGGGTCTTTTAGTAATGCGATATCGGGTGGTATCTATAAAATGGGTCTTTTAGTAATGCGATATCGGGTGGTATCTATAAAATGGGTCATTTTGGTAATGCGATATCGGGCGGTATCTATAGAATGGGTCCTTCAGGTAACGCAATATCGTACGATATCTACGGTATACCACATTTAGTAATTTCACCTTTATAATTGCTTATTTTATATCTGTAATTTTACATGTAACCGGTGAACAGGGCTTTGAAGAATTAACATTTCCTCGATGTGTTAATAATTAAGTTATGATAGCTTGTCATTTTCTGATTACTTATTTCATTATGAGTTAGTATAGACAAGCTGTTAACGAGTGTTTTATATTGCTATGGTATGTATTACATACTCTTTGTAAAGGTAATTTACAGACAGACACAAAGCAAGAATAAAGGTCTATAGTCGATAAGCTTAAAGTGGAGATTACACAATTCATAGTCTAGATAATGTGCTTTGAATCTAAAACTTTATTAAATTAATTCTCTGAACAGTTTTCCACGTAAGGTCGGCATTATAGGAAAATATAAGGTCGTGGCGTTTGTTAGTGATCGGTTTCAAAGTATAGCTCCGGATCCCAGTGGGGGAAATGTCACGTTTGCAGGTAAAGGGTACACTTATCAATAACTCTCATATTCTACTTTAAATACGCAAATCTGAAGTAGAGGCGTATCTTCTACCTATAAGTCTTAAAGTGAGAATTTTTATGTTTGAGATCTCGGCCTTTTATTGATGAGACGACCCTGGACTTGGCATTCTGTTCTTTGTAAGTGTTTATTTACGGCCGCTATTTATTAATTGCGTAAAGGGACATTATCCTCGCTTGAATGCAACATGTAATTTCCATTAAAAGCTCTTGATGCTACAACAATACAACTGCCACTCTACAATACGTTAACCCCTGTAAATCAAGTATTTGTCTTAATTTATAACAAGTTGCGTAACAAAATAATATGGGATAGAGAGACTTAGAAATATGGGATAGAGAAACTTAGAAATATTTAGTATCTTGTAGTAAATTTCAGAGGAAGTTTAATAGAGAAAATATACATATGTATCGGTATGTATAAATGCTATATATTTGCTTGGGAGAATTGTTGATTTTCTGGTCGTGTTAAACCAAAATGGTTGTCTAGAAATAAATGTGAAGGTCTATCTATTAATCAATATTAGGATACAAAGTGCATCATTTTCACACCAGAACATTATGCACTGATAAAGGCAACGTAAGAATCGTTTTCACAAATAGCGGTTCTGAGATTGCCGCTGTCAGAGTATCCGATTTGATTTTGGCGTTACGTCTTATTTTCTCAACCAAACCAATTTCAACACGTAAACTGTGAATGTAAACCATCATGAGAAATCATGGCCTTTTATTAGCTTCACACATGTATGATATTTCTGGTTGAGGACAGAAAGATGTGATGAGTATCAGAATAAATGTTAACATTTCTTAGTAAACATTTCAGAGGTGAAGTAAGGGCCTGAATATAGTATAGGTAAAATTTGATTCAAAATCAAGTCATGTAATTATTACTTTCCGTTAACATTTTGACGAGGCCTTCTTTATTTCCCGTAGGAATGTTCAGGATTTATGATGGAGTGAGATAATCTTTTTTGATAATATTACGAATGTATTACATGTGGGCTCATCCTGTCAGTTGTTAAATGGAGATGAAGAGGTTCTCGTTGAAACATCCCTGTAGGTTGAAATACCGACATTCAGTTTAATGAAAATATACGTGAAGAAATACGTTTCCCAATGATCGATTTTCGCGACAGTGCTGATTTCCAGGACACACGTCGCCTAAAGCCTGTTCTTAACTGTTAAGTCTCTTGCAGATTTAATGGTTCAAAATAAACAAAACAAAGAGAGATCACGTATCGAACCACAGGGGCCCAGAAGAAGCCCTTTATAAAGAAAAGACCCAATAAGACTCTGTTTCCCAATCGAATAAATCAAATAGTACATTATATAAAATGTCCTACGAAATGGAAATTATACTTTAATCTCAAGTTTCCTTTTGAAAAGAGAATTGAGATGTCTGATAAAACATATGTAGAAGATATCAATTGAAGTTTTTTCGATGCAGAAATATTCAAATTCATTTGATAAATTCAAATTCAATAGAATGATCCCAATTTACTGTTATTTTATGCTTTAATTTGGGGTGAGAATTTCATACATTGGTCTTCTTCATTGCATATGGCTACAATTTTTTTTATTACAAATAACACATAAGGACAACCGGAAACAAAACCTAATAAAACAAAAATTAGATGTTCGTTTTGGAGAACTCATATCCTATGAGAATCAAACTGATAAGTCATTGTGTACCCATGATGTCAGTGAAAGAGAAAAATGTGTTGAGTTTCAGAATGTAAATTAATTTTATACTCAGACATCAATCGATACGTGAAACCAATATAAAAGCTATATAATAGTTTATTAAATGCAATCACAGTTTATTTGTTTACGTTACTATAGCAATAGCAAAATATTTTCACTCAAAACTAGAAATATAGTCTTATGTTGCTCATGAAATTAATACAATCAATTTCAATTTATACTGAATGAAGAAAATTTTTAAAACTGATATTTCGTATTATTTTAAGAGTATCACTAGGAGTTATATAACTGAATTTAGCCTTAATAACTTATGTGATTTATGTGACCCAGTCAAACACACGTGTATCTTAAAGTAAACGAAACATAATTAACTATTAAAAATTCAAATAGCTGTAAAGTTTTTATCAAACGTACAAATACTAACAGAGAATATTACAAAAAAGTAAAAGTAACAATTCACAAAAGTGATAAAACTTACTACTTACTAAGTCTGCTTTTGTTCAAAGTTATGTGTCCGTACCATGTCTGGATGTACTTTAACCAGCAAAATTATCTTCACACCTATAAAATCAAACTGCTGTAAAATATCGATGAATCCTACCCCCTGGAAGGGATGACATTGCATCGGAGAGGGAGCTCTCGGCCATCAATTGTTTACAATAGTACGCAGTAACAATACACCAGCATCCGTGCTTTGCTGAGAATTCTAGATAAAATCATGAAGACACTGTTGCTTGATAAAACCTCTTGTTGTTATCACATTGCTATTGAATAATCATCTTACATAAAGGTCTAAACCTTCAGGAAAATCAAAACAAGTTGTTAGAAGATTATCGTCATCCAAATGCAATTGATATACGTGCAATACAGCATACATGTCCAAATGTAAAATATTCAGTACCAGTCATTTCATGGCGATTTTATGTTTTGTATTAAGTTATAGCACAATAACTGCCATCAATTGATTTTCAAAACAATATCAATATCCATATTTCCATTATCTCCAACGGCAATGAGGAATGTCAGCAGTATTAAATAAATCTGAAATTGTAAACTTGTCTAAATTTTTATCTAACAAGAACATATCAGAGGTTAATTATCCATTATAGTTACAAGTTTAATTTGCTAATTAATGTACTGTGCAATAAGAAAGAGAATTGCTTTAAATCAACTTCATTCTTGGAGTTTTATTTTTTGTAACCATTTTATTTTAGGCATGTCCCAAAACATTATGACAAGTTAACCAGAATATAAAAGGTAGTGGTCCTGTCTAATATGCACCCATTTGATACCTTTGTTTTAGGATTTTCCACACCGAACACCTAAATCGTTCTTGAACATTTTATTAATGTTTTTTAGGATTAGTTAGTTAAAAATATATATCCTGAATTCACAATTTTGATCCCCACGGCAAAACTTTCTTCTAACTTCCAAATTAAAATATAATGTAATGTAAAACCTAGTCAATGCTACAAGCCTCTGCAACTCCTTCCAACTTCTTGACTACACACCTTCTCACATAGGGTCTAGTAATCACTGGTAAGCCACATGTGCTGCCCTCTGGATCAAATGAAGTGGAAATGATTTGAAAGGGCTAATGGCAGATTCGTTTATTGTTCTTAGTAGTGGGGAGGTGGCGCTTATACGGGCCTGTAGATAGACTATATGTAAAACCTAAAAAATAAGCAATCAAAAGACCACAGTTTAATATTTATTATATGAAAAATATATTTATATTTTACATGCAAAATGTTTGTATATGATATTGCACCGATGCTTTTTGATTGCTTATTTCTTTTTAGGTTTCATCGACGCACTACTCCATAGAAATGGACCATGGACGTAATTATATGTTTGCGTGTGTAATTATGAACGATGCATGGACCATGTATGATTTTGAGGTAATAACGGGACATGCATGAAACCCCCTGGGTATTAGAAAACCGATAACCAACAAAAAATGGCAAAATCAAAGGAGAGTGGAAATATATGGGACGAGAGACCACCGATAGACTAGATGCAAACCAAGGCCAACAATTGAAAATTTGCCTTAAAATTAGAAAAAGGATTATAGCTACTTCTAGCGTTTGTTCAACTTCTCTTGAACTTCTGTTGAACAATCGACTTTGTTATGCATCAAAACATCTTTTCTTCCCGCTTAAAATATATTTTTGACATCAGGTATTGCAACGACCGACCGATTATGGGTGCCATCAATTATTTATTCCAATCCAGGTGCTATATATTAAATACCAGCTTGTAATTTACTAGTATAATGATAGATTTATGTCCCTAAATGAATGTTTTAACAATTGATAGACGCATTAGCATGTCATAATCAGTGTACGGAGTAAATAATATCTCATCTGGGATGTCTTAATGCTTCTGTAGGTATTGTTGTTCGGCTTGATGCAAGATCACTCCAGCTTAGAACCAATTGATAAAGCGAAATTTTTTCATAACTAGATGACAGCGATGAAAAGGCGTAGCACATCTTTTCGAATAGTCTTGGCTGCCATTAGAATTTGCCGTCTCTTAGCCAACTAGTATATTCACACATGAAATTCCTAAAATCCAATGCATGACCTCTATTCAGTTAAAGCAAAATGGTCACTTACAAGCCAAAATGTCGTTAATCAGTATTCTATAAGATCTTTTGCAGTAAGTTGAAACGTAAGTGGCAGTTATGTCAGTAATTTAAGAACCCTAATCATCAAGATCACCAGCTTTCCTTGATACTATCATAATGTCAACTTTAACTACTGATTAATAACGGAGATTTCTCATTTTACGCCAATACCGTTTGCTATTTGGAATGAATCCACAAACGCAACTGTGAAATGACCTTGGTGACATCATCGAAAAGTGCAAAGGGACCAAAAGGTGTAGTGGAACTTAGCAAGAAAAAGCAAACCTTAAGTGAATACCAGCCTTAGAAAAATAATGCCCATTTGTCCCGAAACCATGATCATTCGTCAAACTAGAACTAGTTTGGTGTGACTGGGGGTTAGTAGATGGAAATGGAAGCCCACCTAGCACTGTTTCAAAGTACAATCACTGTTCCACAACTAGTTACTTCTAAGACGGAACGTCAATGTAACAAAATGGATGAACTTCCTGGATACGTTTTTTTCTCGATTTAAACCTACTTATAAGTCAGGTTGCGATTTATTGTTAGGCACAAAGTTGGATAATATAGTATAGCTTTTGGAAATGCTCTCGGAATTTGTTTGGTTTGATTTTTAGATATAAAGCTGTAATTTACATTTACATCATGCATTATAAGCATTGTAAGTCGTCAAAGTAACATACATTGGTAATATAATGGACTTTCGTCAATGTAACAAAAGCGAGGGACTAAATATATGAATTGCAACTTCATTATCGAAACAAATTTCAAATCGAAGAAAGTTACTAAAACTAGACTATATTTTCTAGCTTTGTGCCAAATTATAATCTGCAAGTTGACTTATAAGTAGGTTTAAACCGAGAAAACAAAAAAGTCGTAACCAGGAAGTTCATCCATTTTGTTACATTGACGTTCCGTCTAAGGAACTAGATGTGGAATAGTGACAATGTAACTGCAGGCGATTTGGACAATAGGTCTCGTACGATCTGCACCATCTATACACACCGCATTTATCATTTCAAACAAGAACAAGGTTTTGTAAACCACAATAATTTTAATTTATTTATAGTAATATAATTCTCGACGTCAATTCAGCAGCTAAAGAGGCTGCGAGTTTTCCCAAGATAATTTGAAATGCCCTAATTGTTGATAAGGGCTTAATTAAGTTTTAAAACTAGGAATACTCCTGTCGAAAATCAAAAATGTTCAATTTATTAATGATGTTGTTATATCTTACAAAGTTTTAAAAACACTGCCTTGGTCGAAAATGCAGCATTGATTCGACATTGAAATGTACTTATTGCTGAAATACATGGGGTGATCTATAAGTTTGAAAGCAATCTTCTACTTGCAGAAATATAGTGCATACACTCTACCAACAGGGTCGAAAAGTCATGACCAATCTGAATTTGAAAATAATATGATTGCTATGGTAACTGTTGATTAGATACCCGACGCTATTTCAAAATTCGAGTAAAATATTTTTTTCTAATTTTTAACATCAATGTTAAACCCTTTATAATGAGAATGACAACGCCAAATCTTTTGTTCATGTGTTCAAGTCTGCAGGATGCGTCTTTTTCGTTCGAAATTTGTCCAAATGTTCATAAACACGACCTTGATCCAAACCAACATCAATTGTATTTAACCCGGTGAAACGGTATATAACTATGATTATGAGCCCCCTATTAAAAGGGAGAACATCGAAAGCTGCCCATTTTATTCACCAAGACATTCCGTGGTTCCAAAGATCAAGCAAGAAAATAAAGTTCTTGTTTTTTGGATACATAGTTGCCAAAGGTCACACAATGAGGGGAACTCAAACAACTTTAATGTTTTATTATAAGTTAATGTGACTGGCAGTAGAAAGATTTTCCAATAATGATTATTGAGGATGTTTTTTCATAATTAAGTTCATCGATCACACAAATTAGTGCCATAACCTTTTTCATTGAGCGAACAATATTTGCGTGTATAAACAAATTGAATATTAATGTGTTGGGTAACACACTAATTTCGTTCTTACTGAATTGAAAGGCGCCAAGTAGCAAGATTTGACTCACCATAACAACCATATAACTGAAGGGGTCTTGGGTGATTAATAATATTAAATTTCCAGAGTACAATCAAAGAACATCTTTATTTCCACAGAATTTGATGATATGACTCTAAATATAAGATATTGATCGAAATATATATTGGGAAATTTATTGATCATCCTTTGTACATGTTGAAAAGTAGAAATCAAAAATTCCTTTGTGCCACACGGTAAGACTAAAAATAATTTTAACATATACATTTTTATCAATTTTATTATTAGACGTGTTGTTGAATCAAAACTTAAACTTTTTTCACTACTTTTCATTAATTGCACCATGCCTTATATCAGTCATTAATAATTACATCATCATTTTTCATTTGCATACCACAAATATGTTATATACGTATATATATTTAAGCATTTTATAATACTGCTTGAAAGAATAAAGAAGATAGTCATAAATATATATCTATTAAATAGTTAAAGAGAAACAAAATTAAGATCTTCTCTAAATCATGCGATTTTACACATTACTAATTACTTTGAGTTTTGTCTTCATAGAGGTATATATACAGGCGTGTATTGAACGTTTCCAGCATTTTAATTTAAAAATAGTTTTATAAATGCCCCTTTTTACATTAACAAAAATATAGATATGTAGAACGTAATTTATAGTTTTGTTGCGTATTGAAGTTTTATATACATCAATAATGCACGGCGTCACATTGAAGAGTAGATATACTATTTTATACATGTTATATTTCTAAATCGACACCTCGCCTGTCGATTTTTCCTACTGCGGTGTTATTTACAATTACATGATGGGATGGAAATGAAGATTTTACACCATAGTACGCACATGCGTATATGTCCCTGTTTACGCAAATGCCAGCGTGTTAATGAATGCGGCCTCGGAAAGATTTGATTGCTTTCCAATTTATTTCCATATCTTGGGTGCTAGAAAAACAAGCAACGGCCAAACTGCCCTAATTCACGTCACCATACTAGTCAATGGGCAAAAGAGCAAACGCCTGACTTTTTATCTCGAGTTATGGATTTATGTGGCCTCACTGGCCTATCTGAGGTTCTAAACCTATGTCTAAGCTACATTTTGACACTAAACTCAATAGGGGCCAATCATCTACTTTTTGAAATAATTGGTCTATCGTGACACTACCCCCTCTCTCTGCCGACAGTAATTGAAATTCATAAAAATGAAGGCAAAATTAATACGCCACTTGATTCGAAATTTTCCTTCAGATAACCCAAATAAACGCATTTTCAGAAGAAATGGCATGTTGTCATTGCAAAAAGATGACAACTGTGCCTACATACTAGCTTACTGGCTCGTCATGAAAACTACTTTTTTCTATTCAGCGGAAGTGACGTATTAGGGCATTTGGCCAACATTGCAGAAATTGTAACCGGGGTGAAGGTCGTTATGCGTGCGCATATCCTGTCCTGTTTTGTCTGGAGAGTTCCATTAAAGGTCACAGTTTCAGTTCAACCCAACATTTAAAGGTAAGAATCAATAAATAAATCTCTGTTTATTGGCCAGTAAAGCTAACAATCTTCAATCTCATCCCCTTCTGTATTGTAATAAGCGCAGGTTCACTCTTTACTGGCACTCCATTTCTCATGCTCTCGTTTTACAACGCCGAGCTTAGAATGCTTTGCGGCAGCCTTGATCTGCTGCTTGGCGTAAGGAGATTCCTGAAAATATAAATAATGACATATAGGTGATGATGATTGGTTCATACTATTCCATTACGCTTTCAGATGCGTTTTCTATATGTGTACATACTTGATAGGTAACACACGTAATGCCGTGGTCACATTTGCTCCGATTTTCAGTACCGGTGTGAAAGAAATTATGGTCCCCCAGGGATTATGGTCCCCTTTCTTAACGGCCCTTACTGGCCCTGATTGTGGATACGATAATAAGGGAAAGAAGTCACTATATAAATCAATGGAGAGTAGGACCATAATTTGATAGGACCTCCTACCCTTTTACACCGGGACCCGGCCGATGAGTATTTTGTTCAAAATTGCATTCAGATTTGAATAAAACACTCATCTGCCGGGTACCGGTGTCGAAGATCGGAGCAAATATGACCACAGCATAATAAGGTTGACCTTAACGTCCTGAATTTCATATAAACCAATAGCACTTGAAACCAAATCAAAGGAAATGGCTTAAGAGGCCACGTACGCCCTGAAGGCTAATATAACAATGTAAGATACGTTTCAATCATTAGATTTATTTCCTCATTTGAGATAAACAATGTTAGGGCATGGGCAACTCTATATATTATTTGGATACGTGATTGATTACTATTCGCATTATGGCGATTCTGCCAAGGGGAAAAATCAACCACGTGGTATTTCAGTCAAGTAAGTCGTCCATACCTGACTACCATGTAACATCAGAGTCCAGTCGAATAGTGTACCAGTTTGGTGCTCATCGGAGTCAAACACAACGACCAGCGTCCATGTTCCAACTGGTGTCTCTGCCCAGGAATGGGTGGTCATGAATGGCCACTTTGTGAACCCATCCTTACTATCTGCATCCCTAGGTCTCTTACTCAGGATCATCGATCTGAAAAATTCATCCATTTTCATATTTCATTGTGTTAATCTCAGACGCTATAAAGCAGCAAGTAAAATGCCCTGTCGGAGATTGTGATGTAATAAAATAACTCCATGCTCATACAGATCCTCACAAAAGGTGAATCTATGGACGTTTGCTCAAAAAGATGATGATTGCCCAATGTTATTTCTATCTATACTGCATTGGATATCTTTGTATTTATTATTCATTCATAAAAGACTAATTGATAAGACCACAATCGCTTACATTTATATGAATATCTTAATATGGTATCTTTGAAACTCATGAAATGCAACACAAAAAAGAAAATCATTAGGTCATTTTCCAAATCTAGAACTTACTTAGTTCCCATTGGGGAGGTAAGGTACATGGTGAGATCACCACGACGAGATGCCTTCACCGAGATGAAAGACTGCACGTGCTCCAGATACTTAATCTCATTATCCTGGCCGAGACACGCATCAGTATCGATCGTGAGAACGATAGCCACGGAGGAGTTGAAGGCGCTGGAAGAATTGCAAATAAATATGTATATAAATATAAATGTAAGAGCCAAAAATGGTTACATTACTAGTACATAGCAGGAAAAAGAAAACATTTAAGAGTACACAAAGAAAACAAACCCCAACTATCCCAAATCATAATCCAACGTGAAAAGAAACAGTGTCTAATACCCCTTCCCAACATTCAAGTAGTATATAGTACAAATAAAATATATAATCCGAATAAATATTACTTCGAGGCTTCATGTGGAATGTATAGTTTTTGTTTAATATATACTATATCTAGTAGTTTGCTCATCTTATTTTGAACTGTCTTAAATGATTTCAATAGAACGTCCCATCGGTTTGTTGCTCTAATAATGGTTTCTGAATGGTGTGGTCGTTTTTTGCACGTCGGCTTTGGATGCTCGGGATTTGCTGCATTATGACCTGAAACCTGTGCCTTCGATGACCAATACACAAATTCGATGAAAATTCAAACTTTCAAAAAAGGTTTTGTGGCTCGGGCCATCAAACATGTCACATCTTAACCAACTGTATACTATACTCACTATTTGCCTTTCACAGAACCAGCAGTACAGTGGAATCTTTCGGGCACGCTCTTCCAGTTCAGAGCCAGGTCGACGATGGAACCAGCATCAAGCACACCGTATCCGAAGAGATGGTTGAACTCAAGACCAGCACCATTGATCGTCCAGTTATGATAGCCATTAGGGTCAAAGAGATGGTTCCTCTTGGAGGTAAGAACAGTCAAATGCTGCATGTCACGCCATGTAAGATCGGGGCTAAATAAATAGTATTCGTATATGTATAATCAGAGCTTGGATTTTTTATGAGGAGGGCTACAATCGAATGGCATGACAGTGGGCTTATTCCTATGACACATTGTTTCATTTGCAACAAACCTAATATAAGATAAACTAAAAAATATCAATATTATTGTATTTCAAATACCATGCCTTAAAATATTGATACAAAGGTGGCAACCGTTTGGTCTGTCATTTTGCAAGTCTATCTGTAATATTAAGCCAATTACACATTGATGACATCTATATGAAGTAACGTTCTCTACTCCATGAAAGGGTGCGACAAAATGATATTCTATATAGTGCCTATTTTATCAAAGCATAAATACTATTGTACATACTTGGCATCCAGGGCAAGGGCGAAAACACCAGCAGCTTCTGGGGCTGCAGCAGATGTACCAGAATGACGAGTGGTACATTTTCCATAAAGGTCAGTAGTGGCCTAATAACAATGCAGAATATCAATTATTGGTAGGAATTTGATTTCTTGGTATACATACAATTCCAACAGTGTTTCCAAATATGAATGGACCATTGGACAATAATTAACAATCAATAGACTCTGACGAAAATCTGGACAGAAAGGGCGGGAATCATAAAGTAAACAAACCTGTTATAGACTTTTTTAATGAGTTCAAATTGAATTTAGATTTAATTGATATTTATAGGGTTCGTAATCCAGACGTAAAAAGATTTACATGGCGACAAAAAAAACTAGCAATAATGAGTAGACTGGATATATGGTTATGTTCGGATGACCTTCAAAATGATATTGAAAAGGTGGATACTGACACTGGTATTCTTTCTGACCACTCTCCAATAACTCTTAATTTAAATAATCTTCATATCAAAAGAGGTCCAAGTCATTGGAGATATAATAACAGCCTATCAAAAGATAAAGATTTTGAATCCGAATTAATTCAAAATATTGAAATATGGTCAAATGAGTCAAAAGATCTCAAGGATAAACGAGTTGTTTGGGACTTCATAAAATATAAAATTAGAGAGTTTTCAATTAAATTTTCTAAACAAAAGGCAAAAGCTAGAAGAAAATGTAGACAAGATCTTGAAAATAAACTGATAAAATTACAAGAGCAACTTGATAATAGCCCCAATGATATGGCCATTAAAGATGAATTTTACAAATGTCAATTTGAGCTTGAAAATATATTTGAGTATATTACACAGGGAGAACTGATTAGATCAAGATCGCAAAATTTTATTGAGGGCGAAAAAGGTACAAAATATTTTTTGCAACTTGAAAAGAAAAATGCTGCAAAAAACAGTATAACACAACTTAAAAATGCAAAGGGTGATATAGTTAAAGATTTTTCAACTGTTCAGAGAAACATTTTAGACTTTTATAAAAATCTGTATTCCAAAAGTAACGCAAAAGTAGACGACAATAATGCAAATAAGTTTTTTAAAAATGTTAACATTCCTAAATTGTCCGATAAGGATAAATTATCAATGGAGTCCCAAATAACAATCGAAGAATGCTTCAAGACAATGCAAACGTTTCAATTAAATAAGTCTCCGGGAAGCGATGGACTGACAATAGAATTTTATATTTTCTTTTGGAATAATATAAAGAACTTTTTTTATCGAGGCAATGAATTTTACTTTCACTAAAAAAGAAATGTCAGCATCTCAAAGAGAAATATTAATGAAACTTATTCCAAAAAAAGGTAGAGATGCTCTATTTTTGAAAAATCAAAGACCTATTTCCCTTATTAATGTCGATGCAAAAATAATAGCTAAAGTAATTTATAAACGAATTGAAGCTTTTTTGGATAAATTGATACAGTCAGATCAAGCTGCATTTGTGAAAGATAGACATATGGCCGAAATAGCAAGACTCATTGAAGATTCGATATTTTATACAAATGATAGAAACACAGATGGCGCTCTAATCGCAATTGATTTCCTCAAAGCATTTGACTCATTAAACCATGATTTCCTCTTTCAAGCATTAGAAACATTTAATTTTGGTGACTATATCAAATCTTGGATTAAAATACTTTATACTAACATACATGCCAAAGTTATGAATTTAGGATTTAGTGGAGAACAATTTAATATTGAAAGGGGTATTAAGCAAGGAGATCCTTTGTCCCCCATACTGTTTATTCTCTCAGTAGAGTTTCTGGCACAAGCAATTAGAGATGATCATTCAATCAAAGGGATCAAAATTGGGGAAGATAAGGAGATAAAACTTAGTATTTACGCAGATGACATGACACTTTTTGTAAGAGATAAAGAATCTGTACACCAAGCAATGAGAGTGCTAAAAGACTTTGAAAATTGTAGTGGGTTGAAAACTAATTTAGAAAAAACTGAACTCTTCACTATTGGCAAATCAAAAAATGAAACTTGGGAAATTGGTGCACTTAAACAGGTTAGAGAAATAAAAGTTTTGGGTGTTTTCTTTAACCATGATGAAACCAAGAAATATGAGCAAAATTTTAGAGTCGTGATAAATCACTTAAAACAAACTCTTAACCTGTGGAAAACTAGACAACTAACAATAATAGGGAAAATACAAATTGTGAAGACATTTGGGTTATCAAAATTCAATTTTATTTGTTCGGTCATAGATACACCAGATAGATACCTTAAAGAAATCAATGATATTGTGTTTAAATTTTTATGGAATGGCAGGGATAAAATTAAGAGGAAATCATTAATTTCCGACTTCAAAGAAGGGGGCTTAAGAATGAGTGATTTAAAAACAAAAATTAAAAGTGCCCAACTAAAGTGGGTTCAGAAATTAATTAAAGATACAAACAAGAATTCTCCATGGACTGTCATTCCAAATTATTACCTTCGTCAAAAAGGGGGCTTATTTGTATTGAATTGCAATTATGATATAACTAAATTGAATATTGATATGCCAAAGTATTATATACACATGCTTCAAACATTTATTGAATTGCCTCGTTCACAAACTGATATACCAGAGGAAATAATATGGAATAACAAAAAAATCACGATACAAAATAAATCACTCTTCTGGATAGAATTTTTCAATAGAGGCATAATAAAAATTAAAGATTTATTTATAGATGGATCAATTAAAACATGGCACCAGATTAAGGTACAAACAGGTCTATCTGATGTATACATGCTGAAATGGTTTGGAATTTTAAAAGCCATCCCAAGAACTTGGCTTATAATTGAAAATAATGTCAATTTAGATGTAAAACACTGTAATTTTGATATTGTACATGGAAAAAATATATATCAGTTTAACAAATGTACATCAAAATTATTTTATTCTATTTTATTGTCACACATTGTTGAACAACCAACAGCGAAAGGAAAGCTTAGTATAAAATATGAATTAAACGAAGAAGACTGGAATTTTTACTATACATATTATCATTACATTTTAACGTATTCTAAACACAGGGCTTTTCAATTTAAACTTATAAATTGCATTTTATATACAAATAATGATCTATTTAAATATAATGTAATACAATCGCCGATGTGCGAATTCTGTCATACTGCATTTGAAACGATTGATCACTTGTTTTATCTTTGTGAATATACAAATCAGTTTTGGAACAGTGTTAAGCAACACATTTTGAAAAAACTCAAATATTTTGATTTAAACAATGTGCTATTTGGCTCTAAAAAATGGAGCAAATACGAAAATATGATTATAATTATTGCAAAATACTTCTTGTATAATCAAAAAATGCTACAAGAACTACCAGTGTACAAAAAATTCGAAATGTATTTAAAATACTGTAAAGAAAATGATAATAAGATATGGAATGAATGAAGTGAATGTGTAAAATATACTTTGTAAAAATATATTACAGAAGTCAATATGTTTTTAAATAAATTTTAAAAATTAAAAAAAAAAAAAAAAAAAGAAAAAAAAAACAACAACAATCAATAGACTCCTTCACTGGTCCTCATTTGGTTATAACAAAATGGATGAACTTCCGCCGGGGGAAATTTTTATTTTTACCAACAAAGACGTTGATTTGTATCAAAATATTTTACCCGTATGTTAATTCGTTTACTAAAAAGCTAGTCAAACCGAACTCCTTCTTGATGAAAAAGATTGGTAATAAAAATTCCCTCCGACGATAGTTCATCCACTGATTTTGTCTGTATGACCAGGCCTTTGGCCAGGACCTATAATAATTGAAACTATACTTACAACACCAGCATCCTCGTAGCCCGCTTTGCCATTACTGAACGTAGAAGCCAAAGTTGAGGAACACGATTCATCATATCCAGCAGTCTGACCATCGTTCGTTGCTGAGTTGATGGAGATTGTCCACATACTAGCCGCATAACCATCACAGTTACAATCATCATCCGGCCCGCCATCACCCGATGCCCACACATAGATAGAGCCCTTCTTTCCTCGTCCCTGTAAAGGAGCACGCGTATCAGTCAACATAAATAGATTTTGAACTGTTGTGTTTTTTACGCATTTTACACAAGTGATCATTGAGTGCAATCACGGGAACACCACGTTGATAAGCAAAAGATTCATAAATCAATGTATATTCCAGGCCTACTTCATCATCGCAGATTGGCCCTATCGGGTCGACTTAAGGCATCTGTCCGTTGGTCCGTCCGTCCGTCAACAAAGATGATTGTACCAATCAGGACACGTATTCAAATTAGTTCGTTTCTACATTTATTTTATGACTACCCATAGTATTACCTTCACCTGCTACCACCATGTTCAAAGTCTTTTCGGCTTTCGATAAATTGGCGGTGTTGACGTAAAAAGGTATATCATTAATATTTTAGACATTCTGATCTGAAGAACTATCAAATAAGGGCCATTTCTGTTATAGGTGTAATTTCAGAGCTCTATGAAGTTTTGATGTTTAATCCATCAATTTTGACAAAAGTAGGACTTTTTTCATCCATGAAATCAATAAAAAAATTACTGATACGTTTTTCTAAAAAATAAGCTTAAGAAGACATTCATGATGTTTATTCCTTACAGCAGTTCGTGTTCTTATTGCAATTTCTCAAGTACTAGGGTTTTGATGAATTGGCAATTTTAGTATTAGAATGTCACATTGTCATTTATATATATAGATATTCTTTGGAGAATTACCACATTAGGCTCACTCGTTGCTATGGGCATAAAGAATAGCACTAAAAGGATTATATAGTAAAGACAATTATTAATAACAGCAGTTGACATTTACTCAAAGAATTTAGAAAAAATTCAGAGGTCATATTTAGTTGAAATAAATTTGATGTCACATTTAGCATAGTTGTATTCAGGCCTTATCCTTAACTTTTAAACACCAATTAACGTATTTGCTACTTAACTATGTAGTATAATGCGCTGCGATTGCAATATGCATTTGATCTTAAACCGGAGTGTCACCAGATTCATTTTTGATCGCATATGAATTCTCCAAAAGATATGACTACGTCAAGGTTAACTTAAAGCTTAACGAGCTTTTTATTTTGTCAAATGAAAATGATGAATCCAGATTAATCTGCAAATATTGTCCCTATTGCCACTACCAATAATATGTATATGTCGTCAAAGTGTGATGATGGTGTTACAGTACTAGCTAATGAGGATTATCTACATGACGATCCCAAACATAGAGGGGGAGGGGGGGGGCGTTGGGTGGTTAGAAATAAATGACATCCCTAGCGTTGAACATCTGTGTTCCGGGGAACAAGCACTATCAAAAGCTCAAATTAAGAACGAATCTAATGGAAGACTCACGTTGTTCACACCGTTGACAATGGCTCTCATAGTAGCATTTCTTGGTCCATCGACTGTCATTCCGTCATCAGTGGGTCCCCACGATGCACTGTAGATGTCAATCTTATCAGGCATATGCCCCATAGAGTTGGCTTCTATCAGATCAGTCATGTATGGCTGGTCAAGCATTCTAAGACCTACAAGGACGACATTACATGGTCCAATGAATAAGTTCGAAATCCTAATACACTTTAGATAGAGTGATTTGCTACTGTTAGGCTCGTCCAAGTATGTGACATATTTTATAAATGTTACATGGTACGTAAATCGCATGATATAGTCTTTGCTTGAAAATCAATTGAAAAAGAACTGGGAAAGTATATTTGACTGTTTTTTCACCGAGTACCATGAAATGGTCTATGAACAATTGTTAAATACATCACTATTTTAAGACGATGAAGCAATGACCGGAACCTAGGCCAATACAATGTAGTATATTGCTTCTGATCTCGGGAACAGCCATTAATGAATGTCAGTTCAAATATTTGAAGACCTACTGACTAATTTGATGGTTCGAAGAATTCCTATCAATCTCAAGAAAGGGAATTTCTAATAATCCTCAATAGATCAGCGAGTGTGTGGGTGTGAACGGGTTGAGTTGTAGCTATAGGTAACTCGAGACGAGAAGCCTAGTTTGAGATATGCATTATTGCCTTTGTCTTGTTTTGTATTGTTCTTTTTCTTTCTGTGTAAATATAATTGATTGTTCTGATGTGACAAATGACATTTAATATAATTAATTGTATCATCTTACCAGCAATCTTTGAATCATAGGCGACTCCCACTCCGCACACACCATTATCTCTCCTTGCTGAAATCTCACCAGCACATCTGGTACCATGGCTACAATTTATTGTTTAATTATCAACAGGATTTTTAACAAGAGATATAGTACGATAACCTCTAAAGATCATAATGACAGTCGCATTGTTCTTACGCCCCTACATCCTGTTTCTACTAAGAGTAGAATTACATATACGTGTAGCATGCGCATGGTACTGTTTGTTTTTATTAGGTAATGCCCTTGTACCTTGAGGAAGTTTTTCTCATATGCTAGACACACAAATAATTTCGATAAATAAATGAATATAAATAACGATAGTTCCATAAACGGACAGCTGTCTATTCATATTGGAAGGACAGATTAAGAAACAAATTGAAATACTTATAAAATGTGAGTTTTACCTGTTAAACCAGTCATCAGTATATCTTGGATAGGGAAAAGCATCGTTGCTACTGAAGTCATAGCTCGCCTCGGCATTCTTGAAACACATAGCCGACAATAAGTTTGTTTCATGAAATGAGGCTCAACTGATGAAGATTTTGCAATGTCAATATCGAAGGCCATATCTCTATTGTCTGAGAACAGACTTTAGTATTGAGGGATTTATTTCTTATGACCGATTCTGTCCTTAGATGTTTTTTTGATGTGTTTTGCAATGATAATTAAATATTTAGAGGATAATTGCTGTGCGATGGTTGCATTTTCAGTGGCGTTTGGTATCTACAATAGAGCTCTTGTCTGGTTAAGAATCGAAAAGGATTATTGTATTTTTGAGCAAGTGTGTGGCTTGAGATATTTTGATGAGTCTGTTGTCAGCTTAATAATATTCACACTGGAATATTGTAGATGATTTGTTATTAGGTTGACTAACATTTATGTCATTCTAGATTAGCTATTATGTGTGTTTCAATAGCACTTATAAAGAGAATGAATTGGAATTTCAATATAGCGTAAAATGAGTTACATCATTAAGCAAATTTTACAAATTAAAAAATGTAACAAGACACCTCTCCCAACGCAGTCGTGATAACAGTTGAGATTAAGATAAATAGTCCATTATTATATGGACCACGACCCATCAATTTGAATAATTGCATATTTATTGTAAACGCAGCATCCACAGGGACATTAAATTGCTGAATTGCATAATGATCAAATAACTTTTACATTCTTTAACTTTAACTGAAATAGGTCCATTTTATCATCTATAGTCATTGGCCAAAATAGCGGCAAAATATTTTTCGGTTTTTTAATTTCTTTCATAGCCTGAGATTCGGAAATAAAGGAACCGAAAATGAAATATGGAAGAATAAACTGTTGGGGAGTTCGAGTTCTACCTTATTGCGAAACTATATTATGAAAATGGTGGATACTTACATAGTTGTGATAAAGATCGGGATGCATATAATCAACACCTGAAACAGAGTTAGTAATAATATAATCAACGCCTGAAACACAGTGCATGTACAAGTGATATTGCATAACATACAGTACTATATAACTTCTAATTATAAAGTACACCTATGGTATATTCTAAATGAGTTTGTTTCTATCTAGACATGTCATGTAGCAGCGATATTACTTCAAATGAAAGTCATCCATTCAACATTCCATCATCAAACATTGCTAAATTACAATTCTAAATATAAATGGAGGAATCATATTTCTGTCATCGTGTGCCAATGAAACGTAATCTACTAAAACATCGAAATGTGAAGAAATTGATTATTACATTCACAGGTGAAGTTGTCTTTGCACAGACTGACTTCAGTTTTAGATATTCTCACCATCATCCATTATAGCTGTAGTAACACCTTTCCCCGTGACTCCCACGTCCCATGCTGCTTTCACATTTAAATCCAACTTTGGTACACCCCCTGCCTGCCCTGTGTTTTTCTGACAAAAATAAGAAGCCATATTATTGCTGCCAATTGAAATTAAGCATTGGTCAAACAGTTTCCATTAATTGTCCATTTTACCTTATGTTAGTCTCAGATTTTACAATAATATTAAACACTGAACACGCTTATAAATTTCTTATAACTACTCCTATATGCATTTTTAATGAAAACCAAGTATACAGAATATTTCAAGAAACAAGTATACAGAGTATTTTAATATTAATATTTTGTTGAGAAGTGTGAATCAGCTGGTTCTCCATATACTTACTAAATACCATTCTTTAGAGTACAAAGGATCATTAGGCACTCCCGAATCTCTTTTTTCTTCTAAAACCTTCTGAATATCTCGTTTGACTCTAGATATGATTGGTGAAGTTTGCATTGGTTTATAACCCCTCTTTTCCCTGATGTGCCCTGTCTGTTGTACTGCAAGTTTCACCTGGAAATGGAATTCGAAGGTCAAAATAATTGTAAAATATATATTCACATTTAAAAAACAGTTATACGTATGATTCTTATCTCTGAAGTTCAACTTGCCGATGATCATGGCATAGTCCGCGAAAACTTCGCAGTACAAAACAAGGTTTTATATGGTTGGAGGACTACGTAAATTCTATATTTCGAATACCTACAATCGATGATCTTCATATGTTTCGCCAAAACTTCACAGTAAAACCCAAGAGGCGAATTGTTTGAGTATATAATAAAATAAATCACTGAGGAATGATTGTAATATGATCGACGACTTAAGCAATTTGCAATTTAGGATATAAGATTAAGAATCATGTTAATGAAACGTCAAGAAACGGAATCCACTTATTTCGTTGTTAACCCATTCGTTACTTTACGATTCACAATTAATCATTTGTTATTAACGCAGGGAACTTGCAAAGGGCCTTTAGAATCGTTAGAAAGTGTCGTACAAAAAGCTTTATATTTGATTGGTTTCAAGATCTAACACTGTTATCTACCTATTTATAGATGACACTCATCCTTATATAAACTTCAATATAATTCCACAAAGTCTACTTAAGGAGGTATTAACGTTTAGCATTATACTATACAACAACCTGTACTTATTAATAAATCCAAGAATTGCATTGCTTGTCGCTGGGATTTGGGGTATTTAGAATTTTGATGCAGACAAGACTGCATTTGGTAAATTATATTGGTGTCTCAGAGAAGGGACAGGTTGCATAAAGGAGACAATATATTACCAATGGAGGTGCATCACATCGCCTCGAGTTCATATATTGAAATGCAACATAACAATAGACAAAATTATCTCCCGGATATCTGAATCAAAGAAACTGGCCACAGTGTTGATTGAATGGTGCCCTTGTGGTTACTTCAAAAAAGTTTAAGAGTGGAAAGCTTTCAAGTGATACGAATGGATGTACGTGATTCAAATGAAACACTCTGACAAACGTCTACTGACGATTTGATCGCTTTTTTGTTCAACTCATTTAAATATGTATAGGGTGTTTCGAAAGTATGGCCCATCCTTAGCAGACATACCAATTAATGTCTCCATATGTCATATATCATTTTAAAAAGCTTATCCAAAGCTACTTTGATTTACCAAGTATCATGGTTCAACTCAAAAATGGGAAAAAGTTACAGGCATTTCAAAATTTAGTGTTTGGCCAAAATTAAAGTCAGTTTTACACCAAAATAATAGGCGGTGTCTCCCTAGGCCATGTAAACAGCAGCAATGCTTTCCATATATGACCTTAAACACGCTTCAAATAGGGATGTAGCATTTTGTGTAATACTCATAAAACCTTTTTAAGGCATTTAATAAAAGTTTCCTAGGAGTATCTACCCCCAAAGTCCTCTTTTTAGAACTCTATATGCGTCCTATCTTCGACAAAAGCTCCCATACTTTCGGTCACATTCAAGTCAGGCCTGTTTCCAGGATACTGAAATGAACAATATTTTGGCCAAACACTATGTTTTGAAATGCCTGTAACTTTTTGCCATTTGTGAGTTGAACCATGATACTTGGCAAAATAATGTGACTTTGGATAAGCTATAAATTGATATATGACACATACTATTGAGACATTGGTATATGTCTGCCTGGGGGGGGGGCATACTTTCGGGACACCATGTAGCAGGTATTTATTTAAATGAGTTGAAAATAAAATAAATCGTCAGCCGACAGCCGGCAGTTGAATTCGTGACTGGTGGGTTTTATTAGAAATTGTTATAGTTTTTTATTTGAATCATTCTGTGGTAAAGATTCAACTCTTATTTTTCACAAACCTACTTGCAGTTCAGAAACCAAGCAGCTTCAATTTTCAGGTTGGCATTCAAAAATGGACGTATGTCAGCCAACACTACAATTATTGCTTTGCCAAATTAGTATACTTACTAATGGATCTGCCTTGAGAAGTCTGGTATAGGGAACACTTCTTCTTTTCCTTAGTTTGGACACTGTATTATGTTGGAACTGGTACTCAGAAGGGGAGTTTAAAACCTGAAAAATATCATTATATTGTGTCAATATCAGTAATTTGTCATTTAATGGCGACATTTATAAAGCCCAAGTGGTTAAAAGATTAAAATGGACAAAGATGTGTAATCAAAATTTTACAATCATATTGTTTTCACCTCAACTATCCATGTCTTGCCCATTTTCACACTTCATTTTAAGACGATCCTTCAATTTTCAGGTTATCTTTCATTCCAAAAATGGACGCCTATTTTCAATTCTTTAGCCCCGCAATTCTTGCGACGAGCCCATTTATTTCTATGAACATCAAATATTTTCACAGTTTTCACAATTAAAGTTACTAGTTAAATATTTTACAATATCTCAAAAACAAGTTTTGTTCAATGACTGCTTTATTTGATTAGAAATCTCAACTCCTTTTCACAAAACAAGAATAAGAAAAATAGGATATTGACAATCCATTTGAAAAGGCTACTTTCTGGATTTGCACTACTTATCCCTTCATTTAAGTTTAAAGTTGTGTATATATTCTGTCGATATTTGTATTTTGGAATTCAAAACATCTTCTAAGTTTCACCTGCCATAACTATACGTGTAACATCATCATCTAAAGCGTTATTAATAGGAAGTAATGTTTAATAGAATCCTTTCATATTGTAGAGCATTTCCTATATCTACGTCATATCACCCTTCTTGGCACCGTTGCCATGGCGACGCAATCGATCAATTGGCTGATAGTGTTAATATAGGTCTATGATCCACAAGGGGACCTAATGTATTTATTAGACTTATAAAATAACAGTATTGTTGAAATACGTGGGTGCATAATCAATACAGTAAGGGGGAATATGAGCATGATTGATTCTGTTGACAAAACGTATCATTACCCAACAGAAACATACATCAATACACTAGCAGATGTCATTGCATTACAAATACTGTTTATGATACATGAGTGCGTAATAAATGGTACACAATGTATGTGTGAAAGTGGAATTGCCTTAATTATCATCCTTATTGGTTTACGTTTGAGACTTACCTAGATACCAAGGCTAGAGTCAACCAAATCAGCCTTGGTTTTGATATAATGTGATATCACATCATAGCAAAACTATACCAACTATACCAGATACAACACCAAATAACATCAACAACAAAAAATTTCATCAGAGGAACTCTGCATGAATGTATTATGGTGACCGCGGAATAATTACGTTAGGTATACGTTGCATGTCCTAAAAGTATTTGTACTCAAATTGCCTGTACTTGTCTAACTCTTCAAGGATAATCCCAGGTCTTTATCAATTAAGGACACCGTAATAAACGTGCATCCAGTATCACCTATTCTTACGGTGGATATATATATGCACTGGATAGGGCAATTCCCAAGGAACTAAACACCTCGTGTCCTGAGAGACAGGTCGATCACCGATTGATAACACTACACGGTGTTAAAGCATGACGGTTACGTCAAGGCGATTTGCAAAATTTTGCGGTAACGATAACAAAAGATGGCGGATGGCAAAGGCAGCATGTCCTCTTTCTCGCCTCTAGACAAGATTCACAGATAAGATTTCCTTTTTAACTAGTTCCATTCGGTGACGTACATGTAAACACGGATGTTAAGAAAGACTGGGTCAAGTCTGCCAGGTGGTCTACAAGAAGCAGAATATAAGCTGTAAACCTACCGACTGAGATATCCAAGTTCATAATTTTTAGTTCCTTCTCGTGTTTTCTCAGTACATGTGCCTCAGAGCCACTCAAAATATTATCTGTAGGTAAACTGTATCAACAAGCCATAAAATGAGAAATCCAGAACAGGAACGTGGTATATATTGTAAATAATAAGGTTTCAAACGCAATGTCGTTAGGACTACGTATAAATTCCATGGACGGTAACGTATTGTATTAGTTGTACATTAGATATTTAGCGGACGGTTACGTGCATGTACACCTGGCAAGTCAAGGTTGTTAGATCTGATAGCCACTTTCCATGTTATTGTTATTATGGGTAAGGAATGGAATATTGAATTTCCTATATTTGTTTCAGGACTCGCAAGAGACGCTCTTGTTTGAACCTCTATAGGGCAAGGAAAAAACTGTGGCTTGCTTTATTTATGAAACCAATACAAGTGAAAAGATAGCAATAAAGAGGCAAAAGAAGATTTAGCATCAAGTACTGATGAAGATGACAAAATTAATAACAATGAGTCGGGGTTTCATATTAGAGCGAGGTTTGCGTAACCGTCCATCATTTTTTGCAATACCGCAAATTCAAAATACAGTATTATGGCTTGAGTAGAACATATTAGGTGGTTTCCAATGCTCAATTGGCTTTGAATGATCGCATGTAGGTTACATCTATATACCCCAAGGTTGTTAGGCAATGTAGACCATGCCCCAACGACAAATATGAACAAATTACTAAATTTTGTGTAGTTTTGAATTTCAAACTCGACAGTTTTTCGCTTATTTCATGTTATCCCCGGGCATCGATTTCCAAAGACAACGTTCAAAACATACATTACTGAATGCACCACCGAATGCGACGCTTATATAAATCGTTCATCCTTTCATTGATACACAGTTTGCTGTTCTATCGCGGCCATTTTATTGGATAAATCAGTGAACGTAGCCGTCCAGCCTCGTTTTCGGAGGAGGCGTAACCGTCATGCTATAACAGGGTGACACTATGGCTCTCATTTACGGTTGATTGTCAAACGAGAAATTACAGGAATTGCATATTTTTCTCATCACATCCATAGAATTGTATATACAAAGGAAATACAAATATGTAAGCCTAGTACTTTGCCAAGGGGGTGCTTTTGTAGAAGTGTAAAGGTACATAGATAGAAAAAGGAAAACAGCAGCAGGTCAAAGGGAAACAAATCCGAAAGTCCCACCCTAGACATGTAGCCATTTGGGAATAATTGTAGCACTGGCAACACAAATTCTTCAGACATTCAATTCACACTGACAGCTTTAACATACATAGTAGTCACTCCAAAATATCACTGGTCGACAGACCCGCCAGCCCCCTTCGGAGGTGCACTCCGATATTTCTGGTGTGTCAGAACAAGAGTATGGTATCAAACAATGAAGAATATAAAAAAAACAAAAAAACATGAAGAACAAGACAGACTTAAACCGATAAGGTAAAGTCGACGCTACTAAAATTGAAAAGGCTTTGAGATTTTGGTGAATATGAAACATTAATATTTTCACATTCGCAATTAGTAAACAAATGACATTATAATTCATCAGGCTCTAGGTAAGTATGTATTAAAAAAAACCATTTGAATTTACTCGGTATGATATCCTTCGACTGCTAAGAAATATAAGCCTTCACATTTCTCTTTTATCCTCTGAAAATGAAACAATGTCTTAATTCGGTGTTGCTAAGCAATCATCATTTAGTCATCTTTTAACTACTACACAAATCATCAGAATAGTAGTAATCAGTTGCGGAAACAGACATGATATATGATATAATAATTTGAAGATACAACAGTATTGAACATGCCTGTAAGTTTAAAAATCACTTGAATTTATGAAGTCAAAACTCTCCATTGAATTTGTAAAATATATTTTATGTAATAGATTGGGAGCTGAAAACATTCATAATTTGCATAAGATGAAGAATGGGAAACATAATCAGTATCACACGAGTGCATATGATGACTTCGCTGTGTAATGCTAAATATTCCAAACGGGTACTGGAGAAGAATGAATCTAATGAAGGCAAATCCTGTAGTAATAAGAAGGCTTATCATCTTATCAATATGACGGTTCTGAATTGTTTAGGCACTGTACAGAATGCCACAGTTCAGCCCTCTTGATAAATCATTAGCAAATTATAATGTAGCTCCATAAGTTTGACAACTGGACGTTTTTATTGGATATGATTAAAAATTATTTTTGTTCCTAGATTACAATAGTTCGTAAATTCTTGAAAAAAAAATGATGAATATGTTTGTGTTGCCAAATATAAACAGGCACTGATAAGTGATTCAAAATAGGGACTTCCGGTAGCCAAACGTATTGATGGGACTTTAACATAACAGCACAATAAGACAAGAACAGAGCTTAACAGTATCTGTATAACATGAAAGGATTGTTAATCTATGAGAATCATGTAATTATATTGTTTCTTGATATCTTATTTGCAAGCATCGATCGCTCTACTATTCCATTTACCTGGGGGTGATAAGATGGGTTATACGATAGAATGATAATTACATTGCACTCTTTGTAAAATTAATATTTACAACTCATTTCAGTGAATGCTTAAATCAAATGGTTCACGTTGATCCTACAATCCTATTAAAATTATATTTTATAGTTTCGTAGTTTAGGAATATGAATGGCCTGCAGACACTGTGTGAGGGAGGTGGGGGATCATTTGACACTGTATACTGAACATTGGCAGTAGATGCATACGTTTTTTGGATGCCATGGTTTTTCTTTATAACCTGTTGAAATTTTAGGTGTTCAATTTTCTGTAATAAATGTTCTGTACTTAAAGCCGTTCTTCAATTTCTTTTTTACCCTTCTGTCTATTATTAGTATGTGTGAATATGCCCATTGATACAACTGTTGAAAGATAATCATCATTCGAAGATATTTTGACTTATATCCCGGTAAATTAAATATCTAATTTCCCAAAGCAGGAAAGGGTAGTGGTTTATTAAGTACTTGAGGCTCTCAGCTAAGTGTGCAATTTATTTCTAGCAATCTTGAACCTTAGACACTAATTTGTTCACTTTATGATATCCCTCCTTATCGCTTCATTTAGTAGATATTGACTCAACCACATTAGTAACTATGAGAAGAAATGCCTTTGGGAATATGAATGTAGAAACCTGAGATGATTGAAACTGAGCCTCAAATGAAAACCGGTCACAGCAACAGCGACGAGTCACAAGCCCAGGGTCACAAGTTAACAATGTCTATTCAAAAGTTTTTTGAGGTATCAATATCCCTATCTGCAATTACATAAGGTCATTGTTAAAAGAAGCATCCTGTAATTCTATCCCTTCACCCTTAATAAAATATAAATCCTCCAGAATCTACAACAAATTACATACTAGTGAGAGATTGCAATTCCTTGGATGTCAACAAGAGAATCCTTGCACCCATAGACCCATACCATGATAACAGTTGATTAATTTGGTGTATAGATATAGATTTCATGTTACTACGCGTAGAAGGGGGGGGGGGGCGATTGATTACTGGTACTAATTGGGTGGGAGTACCTCGTATTATGTGGTATTGATTTTGGTATGTTTATAATTAGATATGTGATGTTCTGTACTCTGTTTCACAGATATTGGACTAGGTGAAATGTTAATTCAATTATATAGATCGATACCATTCTCGTAGGGTCATTGTAATGTATACATACATTAATTTTTGTCAACAATTCCATCTTTAAAGCTGTTTTCAAGAAAAATAATCAATATTTAAAAAATTAACCTTATTGTAATGATTAACCGTTGTAATGTCAACAAGGTAACATACAGTTAATGATGCTTATATCAACACAAACACTGGAGATTTCTATATAACATCAGTTATCGTAAAATGATTCATATATGAAGTTCTTTTAAGACCTTACAAGAATACATTATGGTGGAGTTTAAATGCTTCAGTTACTCTATTTTCCCGTCAACATCTTCATAAGCATATCCGGGCGTGCAATCTGCTATAATTAAAGTGTTCTTTTGGGAAATAAGGTATGTTAAAAACCGGTAAAGAACAGTAAATGGCAAATGTTGGGCAATTATCATAAATTTTTCATCACCTAGAACGTGATATGATTTTCAAATGGATATTATATATATTAATTTACATACTAATTATTTAATAAGACATATTTTCGCATTTTAGATATATTCCTTTTAAAAAAGATATTAACGTCATCGACACCCACATTTGATGTAGAAATTGAATATATCCGGTGTATAAATGGGTGGAAAACTATCCCATCTAGTTATATAATCTGATAAGATGATTCCCCTCTGTACCTTAGCTATATTTGTATTTAGTGAATCAATCTTTCTAAAATATTCATAGCACGAATAAACCTAAATATGCACTAGATGTTCAAAGAGTTAATTCCAGAAGAGTCTTCTGTATGTACAGCCATCATTAATTTCAGAGGGTATGACGTAGGCGTATTAATATGTGAAACCCAATACCAACGATTGATTATTGTGTCAACCATTAGGTAACAAACGGTACGTCCGTGACAGTGACTTTACAGTGACTGAACATCGGATAACAACCTAACTATACAAAACTGTAGGCTTGCTGGATAGACATGTACTCCTCTGACGTGGTATCTATACCTTCCACCTTAGATTTGGCATTAAGAGTCCGAGGACAAACTGTTTTAAAAGCGGGGGCTATGTTGCTTAACTTAAGCCCTTTAAAGGACTTAACATATGCTTTTCTGGTAGGGTACATATTTGGAGAGTATACCCAACAAGAGACCATTCCTCATTAATACTCGTATATAAACGTTGGTCTAACAATACCTAATACATGTTTACAAGTGGGACAACATGCACCTCAAATCAGTCGTCCAATCCAATCCCACACCACTCCCAGTACAAGAATGTAATTGGAACAATATGTACCTTAAATTGAACGTCATTTCATATCACGGAACATCACTGACTGTATATATACATGTAATAGGGACAAGATTGATGAAACTGAAGAGTGGAATGAAAATAGTAAGCAATACACACCTTCCCAACGTATTGGAAGCCATTCCTCTGCGCGACCTGCTGGGCAGCCTCTGGTGTAACATCATTGTGGAACTGTACGTACCACTGGTTGGTCATCATATTCCCACATGATCCCAGAACAACCAAACTCGCTATCACACATAACGTCCGTAACAGTTCATTCCATCTTATGCCCAGATACATTCCCACTCACCCTCTAGCCCCTCCGGTCGTTTTCTTGTCTTTCGCTGTATCCTTTTATTTTTATTTTTTTGAAGCGTAGTTAACCAGCTGTTCGGAATTCTTATTTTAAAAATGGCTGGCCCTATGGTTCAATGAAATCGGTAGAGTGAAAGAGTTTCTACTCCCTATTATGAAAATAAGGGGTAATAGTATGACAGTGACGTCATTGTTATCGTCATTCCAACCAACCAAAAGGCTTTTTGCAGACAGGGACGTACCTTCTTAATCATGTCTTGGACATTTTTAACTGACATCAATTTCCACATATCATCAATTTTTGTTATTTGTCAATAACTAAGAGCAGGTGGTGAAAATGTCTTGTAATGATACGAAAGCTTGAAATTCTACCAGGTGCCTTTTAATCGTAATTTAAATCCAGCTGAGAAATGTGATTCCTAAATTACCAGCCTTAAATGGGCAATAAGGTGCGATTATGTTGTTAGCTATGAATTTCATGATGCACTAGAATTTGCAACATTACGATTACCAAAGGTAATCTATATTTTTTAATTTATTGATAATGAGCTAATTGAGCTTAACTTTTCATAAAAATTATTATTATATATAAAACAAATCCATCTCGACACTCATGTGCGGGAACATAGTTACTACAGTGTGGGGATGTGTAGCGTTGGAATATTGTTGGAACAACAATATGGTTCGCCCTTCCAATTAGACCCTGTTGGAATTACATTATTGATTCTCGTCGTCTCAGAGGCATTGAATCAACAGCAATGTACCACATACAAGCTTTATTATTATCAGGGAGGTATCTGATACCCCAATATCGAGTTTTCTATGGCCAATCAGATTTCAGCATTTCTTCACGAATTGCCAATACGGTTTACTCTTTTCTGGGATTTGTTCATTTATATGGCCTAACTCTTGTATTATATGATCCCTTTCCGATGACTAGATTCCTTTACTTAGCTATGTATTGCAATTACCTGTATTTCTCTATTCCTTAATACTGGGAAAATCTAAATCGAGTGTATAATCTCATTATTGTCGATCCAAGTACATGGATAGATCATCATTCTGAATGTACAAATCAAACATATATACAACGGTGCCTAATAAGGCACTGATGGATTGTACTATGTAACCGGGGGGAAGGAAGACAACGACATATTAACGACTCTGAATTGATAAAGTGATATTTGAATCTGTAATCTTCATTACCTTGTGTTCTTATTATCATTACGCCATATAAGAATAGTATTCCGGACATATTGCCTTTTCATATATGACTTTCTAATATCACTAACCGATCACGACTAGATCCGATCATATTTATCCCATAAGATACAGTCATATTCCATCCTAAGAAGTAACAAGTGATAATTGAAATAACACGAGGTACCACTTGTTTACAAACACTATCATGGTAACATTAAAACTGATGCATATGTTTTCTACAAAATAAGCAATGATGCCATTTAATTTAAAGATGTTTTTTATAAAAATATAGTGAAAGCATTGTATAACATAAGTACATGGCTACACGCATACCTAGGCATGTCAATCAGTACACAGTATACATACATAACTACACAGTATACATACATAACATGTAACTTGCATTCTATATTTTTCAACAGACGAACGGTTAGTTTTAGATTCAGTGAAATTGATAACCCTCATTGATTTCATAATTCAAAATTGGCAGTTGATTGAAAAGCTATGAAAGTTTCTGGTATTTGAAGTAATCAAATTCGCTTGGAAAAATACCCATACTGATTTTTGGCTCACACAGTGAACCCAGGGGATCGACCAGGCGTCCGTCCGTTGGTCCGTCCGTCCGTCAACATTGGCCGCACATATTAAAACTGCTATTCGGATTGAGTCATATCCACATTCATTTTATGCATATCCATTTGCCTATTCGACCTATCATCGCCATATCCCAAGTTCGCCTGGTTTCCGAGAAATTGCTGATTTTGACGTCAACTACACTGTGTGAGCACAGAACCGTGGGTCCTTTATTGAAATGTATTTCTATGTTTTTAGATTTTCTATAGGATTCATGGACATCATATGCGGGATATCGAATCTTTATGTTGCGGACAAATTATACATAATAATATATAAATTTCATATTTAACATTATTTAACATGCGAAAGTGTATTCCCCCTACATTCACCGTGCTCTTTTCAAAACTTTAAGTTATAAAGCTCCAACATAAATAGGAGATTTTTAATGCAATAAGGTTCAATGTCCTTCATTTGAAAAAGATAATTACTGCTACGTGGTGCTATCTCTTGAGATAAAACTTTTTAACATTCAATGTCATGATTCAAATTGGAGATAAAACCTTTTTACATTTATTTCAAATATATACAGTGTGACAGAGACAAAATGACACCCACCCACATAATGTTAAATGTTGCATAAGTTTTTTATTTGGATGAACGACCTTTTGCATAGTAAAACCTTACTCCATGGAGCAGCCCCACAGGTAGTTTCAGATTACTAGCTGAATTAGATGCACCTTCATGAGCATTACAAGATGTGTCATCTATTCCTGTGCAGGAGCGCCTGTATTTTACACAAAAATGCCATCCTCCTTTTAAAGCAGAACATGTCATCATGCCTTATCATGTTTGCTCTGGATATATAAAGTTTACCCTTCGTAATAGTGTGGATTGCTTCTTAAAAGGTGCAACAATTAGTGCAGAGGGACCATTCAACGATCATGGACCAGTGTCAAATATATTTTGTTTGGATATTTCATCAAGCCCCACATCATATTTTCATTATCTCCAAAGAAACCCCCTGGATGAACATTATTTCACCTGATATTCCACTTCAAACATGGTGGATCATAAAAATCTATATAAGTGGGACTCCCTTTATAGAAACTTTGGACTGAATTTACACTTCTTAATGCTGGAATTGATAATTTATCCATATACCGTATTTTAAGAAAATAGGTATGTCAAAGAAGATGTTAAGCCAAATGTTGCCCCGATAGCTCGGAAAAACTAGACATTTGAATTTTCCCTCTTCAGTCCTTGTTGGCTATATGATGCATATGCATTCATGGCCATTCATGTCAACATTCTATTTTACTGTATCACAAAGATAAAGGAACCTAAATATTTGTTCTTAGTTTTCTCAAATATGGTACATGAGGACATAGATCCTTTAAATAGTAGAGGGACGACATGTCTGTGTTGTAAGGGTCAGTTTTAGCTTACACCGCGCCAAGTGTCTTACTATAAACTACCCTTTATCTAGTATAGGCGGAACTTCTGAAAAACGGATGAATGCAAAGGTAGTTTTAGGAAGTCAGTTGGTACAAATGACAGTCATAACCCTTCCATTACACCTGTGCGTGTATCTGAACTTATCGCATTTGCCACATAAAGCCTCACGTTTACATCAACGAGTCGGTCTCTTATCTTAACGTTATCGAATGATCTTATCTTCATAACATAATCATGAAAGGTGGTCTTCCTTTATAATACGGAACAGGATTCAAAAAGGACACTGGTAATTTAATAAGACATGGTTGTTACGTGGATTTTGGTCCTTTCCTTGGGCCTTGCCGTGCAGGGACAAAAGTTGCCTCATCTCGTGGGCTCATTCGCAGCCGATACGCCAGGGTTCACGAATTTATACGAACATAGGTTTCCCAAAAACCCAAAGGAAAAATATAGTTTGATTTTCAGCAGCTTTTTGCCCGTTCCATTCGTGAGCGATCAGATTCTTGCTGTAAAACATATTGGTAAATTCCTCGGCAATGTTGGTGCCATCAAGCCAGGTGTGCTCGCAGATGATTTGACCTGGCCACGTGAGCCAAGTCAGATTCCATGTAAGTATGCATGTTATTGTTAGTCATTCAAATTGAAATTCAGAACGGATGTCATACAAGGTTTATATAAGAATATAACCGTTTCATTTAACGCATCCTTGCTCTTTTCAGATGAGGTATTTGAAAAAGAAGCCGTCTGTTCTCCATATGGTTTCTTGGTCCCAGGAAAGAATGACGGTTCGATCGAGATCATTGATGTCAGTGGAGATAAAGGAAAACAGTATGACATCGTCAGACAACCCGGAGGTCAGTGCACCACTCATCTTACATTATATTTGTCATTACAGCTATTGGGACGGTAAATCTTCTATTTCATCATGCACGGGAGGAGGACACAAACGTTCAAAAATGGACAGGGAATTTTATGTAATAGTCTTGCTTCAAGCCTCTTGAACCCCAATGGGCTTGCTGATAAACTATTATAATTAAGTTCTTAAAAAAAGAAAAGTGATTTCTAATATGACCGTTCAATCTATAATGGCCGCAATATCTAAAAAATGAAATCTCGATTAAAATGTGGTAAAAAAAGTTTAACCTCCCTTATGTCATGTTTATAGAACGCTTATGATATAATAATGTATTAATAAATACCCTGGGTCCCTCTCCAAATAAAATAACAAAATAAGGCGTGGATAGTGCGGTGGGTTAGATGGCATAAACTTGTCTGTTTGACTGGTCATCGCCGGGAGTGGTGTGAGTGTAGACACCGCGATCCCCGGGGTCACGATGGTCAGTCTGAGACGCTGCGTTTCAATGAAACCCATTGACGCAACTCGACAACCCCAAACCACCATGGCCGTTTTTCTGAACATATAAAACGTCGAACATTCCAATATTGTTTTTGACGTCGCCATTTATGATGTTTTCAGTGTCTGCCAAGGACTGGTTCTTCCATACAGTTGTCTGGAAAGATGTTAATGGAGATGGTAGAATTGATATTATTACAGCTCGTGCCAGACAGGAGTTGTTCACAGGTAGCTAACTAATACGATTTATAATGCAGACGATATATTACAATATTAGAATACGTAAATATTAATTTCATAACTATTAGAAACTGAGATTGCGTGTACTTTTGATTTAAAATGCCCCAAGAAAGACTTGAATCATGAAGCAATTTCAGTCAAAGGTCATTCGTGTTCCTGCAAACGATACTTGTCTTGCCAGAATTCATTTTAACGTTTTTCAATTTTACAAGGTATCACCGAGACTGAAGTTTTATGGCTGGAACATCCAACAGGAAATCCATTCACCCAGCCATGGAAACAACGCTCCATTGCAAAGGATGTCGCTGGTGTATTCATCCGCGAGGCCCAGTTAACCTCCAACTTCAGAACATACAACACCATTATTACTCCAGGTTATTTCACGCAGAAACTAAGCATTTTCTGGACTGAGAACATTCAGGAAAGATGGGACTCACCTGCTGATGTGAGTATGGCGACCGTAGAATACTTACGGTTTTCTGTCAGGCACCATGAGTACTTAAGATAATCCGCCGTACCAAATGTGGCCGTGACATATGTGACTGACTGCCATAATCCGTTATTAGCCATAAAATATTTTACTGTATGGTCGCCATAGCAAAGGTGACTGATGTGGCTTAACTGACATGTAAATTAATTATAAATGCTTTTTAGGTCAACCACAGAACAATTGACGAGGGACTAGGTAAATATTTCGACGCCCAAGTGGTCGACATGAACAATGATGGCAAACCTGATGTACTTTTCACTATCAATGCTGCCGAAAATGGTTCCATTTGGATTTTGGAGACCCCCGACGATTTCAAGTAAGCAATTTTAGCTCAAGTGTAGTTATTATCAACGTCATCTATTGGAATGAACGTAAAACAAAAATGCAAATCTCAAATTAATTTAAAGGTACTCATCTTTATTGCAAACATATCTTCACACGCATGTTATTTAATTTTCTCAGGATGAGTATTGATGAACTGCATGATTTGCCTTATAGGACTGGTACATTTATCAGACATAAACTTGCTGATGGTTTCGACTCAAGAAGTGGATTGATGGGTGGTGGTAATCCAGGATCCATGAAAGCCTTCTATCCAAACGAGAGGTAAAATAAATCACTCATAAGGAGTTTCCAAACCCTTTTCCGTGTGTAGTGTGTAGTTTTGACAGATTGCCTAACGGGCGGTAGTATCACTTGCAGAGCGTTGCTAATTGGCATACTACATATACTCCAAGTCAAGCAATCTACCCCCGTCATTTCAGTCTCAAAGATGTCTTTAGTTTCTATTGTAAAATCTCTACCTTGAGGGATCATGTCTCTTGATCAAATTGCCCCTAATTTTGATGAGTTCAGGTTGTCTATGCTTCAACTCTGAATGATGCAGCATTGTAAGATACACTTGTGGATTTTTATTTGGGAAGTATATACATGTTAACTCCACGATGAAGGATGGCTCATTTCTTTGTGATAAATCAATCGGTGCAACCATCTATTTATTAATTTATTATCCTAAACCAAGCAGTTCCAGATTGATGAAACAAGGAGACATCTATTTTCCCAATATTGCTTTTTGTCATATTTATATGATTGATTATCTATTTCCAGGAAACATTCTTCATAAAACATATATATATGACCGTGAAATGAGTCAATTTGGTTTTAAAGGCACTTGGTCAAACAAAGTCATTGATATTTTAAAAAAGTGTGATTTATTATCTTATTGGGATACTCAAAAGATTGATGATGACAATATTTTTATCAAGACAATAACAAAAACACTGTATCAGAATTATGAAACTCAATGGAACAAAGATATATTAAATTACCCTGTCTTGAGAACTTATGTTAAATTCAAAAATGTCTTTGAAAGAGAGAGTTATTTAAATATCCAAAATAAAAATTACAGGCAAGCAATTTGTAGATTTAGGCTTAGTTCCCACAAGTTACATATAGAACTTGGTCGTCATTTAAAGCCAAAGCCAAAACCTGTAGATGAACGTTTATGTAATATTTGTGGTATTTTAGAAGATGAACAACACTTCATCATGATTTGTAAGAAAAACACTACAGAAAGAAAAATTTTGTTTGACACCCTTATACAATTTAATTTTGTAGGCAGTCCTGACATTATTTAAAAAAAACTAATGTCTCACAAAAATTCTTATGTAATTTTACATTTAGCAAAGTTCATCTATCATTCACTCAAAAAATTGGATTAATGTGTCAACGATGCATCACACTGATATTTAAATTTCTGTCAAGTTATATTTGTATTTTACAATTATCTTGTATTCTGTATTTTACATTTGATGATGTAATTAGATTTGACAATTGTATTTGACAACAACTTTATTTTTGTATTCAATAGTTAGTTTAGTCTTAGGTCAGTTTTGTAGATTGTAGTTTTTAGTGACTAATATGTCATTGTAATGACATCAGAGAGTCAATAAAAGATATATATATATCTACTGATATAAAATGTGAAATCAGAAAGTCCCCGTGTTTTGATAACATGATCTTTCTGGGTGTCTTTGCACGGATCGCATCATATTTTCAATCTGCGATTATAAAAACTTATCGATCTATTACTGATCATTTACTAGCCTAAACAATGTTAGCCTAAACAACTAGCCTAAAGTAAACATTCTATTTTATAGCAAACCTATAACGAATAAGCTTTAAAGTATACTTCAGACAATTTGATTCTGTGACTGATTATAATACGCATGCGCGTGTATTTGTGATCCAGGGATACCTCCAAGAAGCCCTACATCATGATGTCCGGTGATGATGGTGGTACCGCCTACATTCTTACCCCTAAGTCTGAGAGAAAAGATGATTGGGAATACGAGCTTCATACAATGTTGGATGAAGGAGAAGGGTATGTTATATTAATGTTTTGAAGGAACGAGTGAGAATCGCAGCCGATTTCATTCTTGTACACGATCAGAAAATGACAACAAAACTTACTGTCATCCATTATATTCGGACCTAAAAAATAAGAATAACTTGCAATTGCCAAACTGCGTGTACATACACAATTGAATAATTTTTGACTATCATTGCGAAGCATAAAGATGTAAAGACTTTGGTGATAACATAATTGAAATACTTGATAAATTGTCTTTTACATGTAAACTACTACAATAATTTAGATACTGTAGATACAATGCTATCTGCCATCTACTATTTGAAAAATCTTGTATCAAGCCCCAAATCAATATCCATTCCAAAGCTCTAATACCTGTATTTTGGAGGGGTGATGTTCTAGAATATTAATTGGAATGCAGAATTAAATTCCAAATGTTTCATTTTCAGTGTAATTATCGGTAAATTGTCCGCTGCTGACGTAGATGGAGATGGTTATACGGAGATCTTCGCTTCTTCATACACGAATGAAAAGGTCCATGTATACTCATATGGACCCGCTAGAAAGGGTTAATTTTGAAGATCAAAATGAGGTTAAGATGTATTGTAGAGATTAAAATACACTATATCTAAATTTAGTCATTATTTATTTCTTGCATTTCACTAATCATTATTTATCATTATGTTATCATTATGGCATATACCGGTATATGCATGCATATTTTGTACTGCGCAGTAAAATTCGTTGACACAGAAACGATGAAAGGGTCATGTCAACTGATATTGAATGGGTAAAGTGTATCAATTTAATTGTTTAAGAATGGACAATGTACATGCAACCTGCCAAACCCCGGACTATGATATAAGTTGCAATTTAATTCGAAAAGTTAAACTTCTTCGGTAGTTAGTTTAAGAGTATCAAAGAATACAAATACAAAGTACTAAGTTTTTCATTTATAATTATCGTCCTCTACTATATTAGCTCATGCGCTTTATTTTATTCATTTCTCATTTTATGAGGCAATAAATGTGCAATATAAATATATTGCATAATATATTTACAATACAACAGGAAAACACATTCATTCGCATTATCTTTAAAGAGGCACTATGTCATAGGAAGCAAAATCAAGACCCCCTGGACGTTTTGCATGTCGAGCCGTACCACATTATCATCTATCTACTTATTAAGGAAGAAGTCCGCTTTCAGTGCTAATGTTACGATAGTACCGACCGCATGAATTACTTTCGCCGAAACTAATTTGAATATAACGGGGAAAATATGTTATCGATCCGATTGGTCTTTAAAGTTGTTTGTCATTATGGTCACGTGCAAGGGATCTCCGTAAACATGTCGACGCTCGTGTCACATGATACCCCTCGATTGCCGTGACCTCAATTGTGTTCAATTCTGACAGTTGGTTGTTCTTTTGATTCTCCAATATATATTTAACTCATACATCGGGCTCAATGTGACCAACATTGTTTTCACAAGTAGTTTAAAGGCCTTGTTAAAACATGGGTTACATCGAGAAATATCTAAGATATGTAAGAAGTATATTAGCAATCACAATAGGATATCACTGATTGTCCGGGAGAGAAACCCATGCCATATGCATTATCAAAGTACGTTCAACCAAAACTGTAACTTCAATGCAGGTATTTATAAACGGTATTAATAATTTTGTCCATCGACTGGTGTTAATAAAGATTAAAGTGATACTATGGCACTCCAAGATTTGCTATTAGTGTAACTCTCTAAGATTCAGGCTGCGTTTTGAACTGCCCGCGGGCCAGTGCATTGCATAATATATAATAAGCATTCCCCCTAAGTATCACGAAAAGGAACAATGAGCCAATGCGTCGCAAATTACATGCTCACAAGTTATCAAATAAAGCTGTTCATCCAAGCGTGGGTCAATCGCGCCAGTTTGTTGCTAGTGCACCACAGGAGTTCGATTGCAATAAACCGTGATGTCTTTCAAAAGAAGTGTGTGTTATGCCTGGGTCACATTTGCTCCGATCCATCGGCCGGCGCCCGCCCGATTGAGTGTTTTATTCAATATTTTATTCAATTTTGAACAAACTACTCAATCGGCCGGGCGCCGTAGTGAAAATCGGAGCAAATGTGACCAAGGCATTAGTGCGCTTCAGTGAGCTTTTTTGTTGAAAACACATAGGTAAGTATAGCGTTCATTTAAGTGATACCTGGGGGAAAATCTCATTAAAATATTACGCAATTCACTAGCAACGCGGGCACACAAAAATACAGTGGCATAGTATTTCAGTTCAGGACTATGTACAGGTAGGTATAGAGTTGCAGGGACACCTATAATGCCACTTGCGATTAGTTTCCTTATGTATGATTTGCTCTTGATTAATAACTAACGGCAATAAAACCTATTGATAAAAAAGTTAACTTGCAGTCCATTTGTGTAAGTTGAATCAAACGTACTTCCGTTGCAAAAATTGGCTGTACTTTTGTACCTGTGCTCCAATAACATTCAAAAATGTTTTTTTGCACTGTGGACTGTTTACATACACCATATTTACAATCATCGTTTCATATTGTCACAACATAATATATACAATTTGAATCATAGATCACTACTTCAATGTCAGATTGCACTCATTATCAAATTCGTGTCGTCTTACTCAAAGCCGTTGACATATTCGTCGTGTTGGCATGCTCGGTTGCATTTCTTCTTCCACACGTTAGTATATTACATATGCCTCTTCTGAACCGTTTGCTTGCAATGATGTAAATCAGAAAATTCATTGCAGAATTCACGCGAGTCATGAATGCCACATAATAGCCGAAAATTTCAAAATTGTGAATTAGTTTTCTGTCTTCTGGTTTTCCGATTATTCTATAAGCATGTATGATTCTACCAATCAAAGATGGTAGTAAACATATTAGATAGAGCGTTGCAACTGAAATCAACATAATGTTGATGTGACTTTCCGCCTTTTCCTGGGTTGACTTATTGTCCTTATTTCGACCTGTTTGCGTAAGCTCCCGCCTAGCCTTTGAAGCTTTTCGTAAACTCAAAACCAGTCCTATATTTAACCCTAGCACAACTAGAACAGGGATAACAACCCTGACGAGGCCCTCAACAATGACAGCGTATCCAACTGCGAAAGCAAATGTTTTTCCTAGATCGGTAGGTTTGGCGAGAATATATGGGCTAACATAGAGGCAAGGATGTTGCACTATAGATAAATTCATTTGCCACAAATAAGGTAGAGCGAGGCCAATTGCGAGAACAACTACAATCACGACCTCTATCGTAACAACTTTGATTGTATTGAGCACTCGAGCTTTTAATGGATAATGAACTGCGATGAATCTATCAAGCGTGACAAGAACAATCAACCAATGGGATATCGTTAGGAGGATCATGTTCACGCGGCCAAGCTCAATCTTATGAAGAGGGATCCAATGCACCAAAGTGTTTTCAATCGATAGGTCTGGCAACCAGTTTGTGTCAGAGTGAATTGCTATATATGGATCAAACAGCAAATACCATAGGCAGTATATGCCATCGACTGCTGCTACAATTTCTAATAGCAAGATACTCGTCGTTTGCCTGTCTTTACGTAATACCACGAATGAGAGTATGTTCCCTACTAAACCCGTCAAACATAATGGAATGCTTAGAAAAACATCAACGACTATTGAATGTATGGACATGCTTGTCCAGCGTGCAGCCTTTTCTTTTACAGTTTTCTTTACCCCCGGGTTGATGGTACTCAGGAATGGTTCGCAACACCACAGATTATTTATCCAGGACCCCTTGAATTGTTTTAAGAGACATTCTGTTAAGTTAGCATACTTGGAGTACGGCCACCAACATGGAGATGCCCCTATCCATTTTGGATCTTCTAAGTCAACACCTGTAATGTTACAGCTTGGTTCTGAAGACGGTGTTGTCGGTTCGCTGGTAAGGTTGTAATCCGTGCGATTCAAATTGATTGCAGTTGACCAATTTTCTCCCGTCAATATGCTGAGAGTACTAAGGTCGAGATCAGTAGTAATTGTCCGGTCTGAAGTTTTAGTAGTTCCTTTATCGAGACCAACAGTTTTCACAGTCATCCCCAATGTTTCATTCCGATACTCAATATCGGATGACACTGTTGAAGTCTCATTCGCAATAAGTGGAATGACCATTGTCGATATAGCGATCAAAATGAATAAACCATCCCCTTGTCCCATTGTCAACTATACTTATAGTTTTTCAATGCTAAATTAAAACGCTTCCTCCAACTTATTTTCCACTTGAGATATTAAACTAATTGAGTTCGTCTTTCACCTTCTCAGTGCCATACCAGTCGTAGTACTATTCCATATAATTATTTGGAAGCGAATTTAATTTACCGACCACTATGAATCACTAATTGATATTATTTTTTAATAGTAAATCAATTATTTCTTACGTCGAGATCATGAAAAACGTTTCTCTGGTAATATCAGTATCCGATCGCGATCGACGACAAATAAACTTCTCAACTAGCGTTACTCGTTCTTATATTCAAGCGGAAGTGAGGTGTTTTATTTAATGTCAAATTGACAAATAGGCATTATAAATACTATTCCTTTTACTCTTAAAAACAAATCAATACTTCGCAATTATGAGTTGAGGCAGAAATATTTTTTCTCATTAGAAATACTTAATCAAGAATTTCTTTTGTTTTCAAGAAATTGCAATTTGTACAAATATTCAATTAATGTACTGGAAGGATCTAAAAGAACGATTTTCTTAGACTTTCAAAAGTTTGTGAGTGAAGAGTGTCCTTATTTGTAATGTACCAATAATGTCAACCAATAACGTGTAACTGTGGAAGTGTGTTGGTCTGATTACATACCAAATTGGGCACATATGCATGGTGGGTCAAAAAACGATACCACAAATTGAATTTTTTCTTAAAAAGATTTAATCTAAAGGAACTTATAGCGGATTCTGTATATTAAAAAGAAAATTCCATTGCCAACATTATTATTTTAATATGAGGTAGAGGTCAAATTTATGGGGACATGATTTGGTACAAAAATGAATAAATACAGTAAAACCTGCGAACGGGGAATGCTCTTGGAGGAAAGTTTCCTTGTTCAGATGTTTTCCCTATAGAGAGGGGCCACACTTTCCGCAAACTCAAACTTGCCGAATAAGCATATTTGTATATAGATGAGTATTGATTGATTGTACCAATGCAAACTCCATACTTGGTTGCTAGACCTTGTAGTGACATCTTGGAAGATGTATGAAGGTCTCCCGCCTCCCTCCATTGGCTGAGAGTAAGGAGCGTTCTCCCTATGTTGATTTTAGCTGCTGCTGCTGGCGTCTGATGATGTCTAGTTGAAGTAATTATTGATATGATGTGTAGAGATATGTTGCTAAGAACTGAATTTCAAGTTTCATCAACCCCATTTTATATCATTGATAATTTAGAAGTTTGGATCAGTAAAAGATTTAAAGAGATTTGGCTCAACATGACACATGTACTTATCTGTTATCTCCATAAAACAATTGTGTCAGCCCCTGAGTCCCTAGATTATCACAACTGATTTGATGTAATTAGGTTAATATATCAGGGTAATTAACAGTAAGTGCGATGCTACATCCTGTAAACAATTGGC